TCATTCCCAGTCCCTGCCAGAATTTTGTCCCTGAAGATCTTGGTCACATTGGGATTAAAGGAGAACATAGGTGTGCCCCTCGCCGCATGCTCCCTAACCCCAGATGATGCAGTCAGAACAAACTTTGGTTGCAATTAAAATAACTTTGCACAGCAGCGGGGTGTTTGTACTGAGGTTTCCGTAGTCCCCATTAAAGCAACGGTTTTCTGTTGGGAAATGGTTCCATAACCATCTCCTCTGGAGTCTAGGAAGGGTCTTTTTCACAGGTATAGAAACTGGCGGGGGGGGGATATTTACCAACCTGCCAAATTATTCCGCTGCAGGCATCTTTGCTAAACAGAAATGAAGGTCACTTAGGAACACAGAAAGCTGCTTTATACTGAGCAACTGTTGGTCCATCTAGCTTGTTATTGTCTATAATGATTGGCAGCGGCTCTTCTGGGTTTCAGGCAGGATATTCCCAGCCCTGCCAGGAGATTGAACCTGGGTCCTTCTGCATGCAGAGCAGATTCTCTCTCCAGTGAGCTGTTGTGGGTCCCTAAAATACAATAGTAAGATTTCACTCCTCTCGGTTGTGAAGAAATGGATGGTTTTAAACCTGGGACCTTCCACACACGAAGCAGATGGTCTTCGGCCCTTCCCCAGACATTTACCCGGGAGCAACCCCAAGTTTGCAACAACTGAGATAAAGAACTCCCCTACATGAAAAGGTTGAAGCATTTGGGACATGCTAGCTTAGAGAATAGGCAAGTAAGAGATGACATGATAGAGGTTCGTAGAATTATGCATGGCATGGAGAGCCTTGGGTAGAGCAAAGTTTTCCTCCCTCTTTCGTAAGCCTAAGAAACACGTGGGTGTCCAATAAAGCTGAATGTTGGAAGATTCAGGACAGATAAAAGAAAGTGCTTCCTCATACAACACATAGTTAAACTACGCCCGCAGGAGAAAGTGATGGCCACCAACTTGGATGATTTTAAAAGAGGATTGGAGAAATCGGTGGAGAATAGGCTTTCAGTGGTTAATGGCCACAGTTGCTGTGCTCGGCTTCCGCTGTAAAAGGCTGGTTAAACTTGCTGGAAACCACAGGAAAGAAGAGGGTTCTTGTGCCCAGGTCCTGCTTGCATCTGGTTGGACTCTGCAAAAAGAGTGCATTGGACTAGTTGGGCCATTGGCCTGATCCAGCAGCCAGGCTCCTCTTATGTTCCTAAGACTACAGACTTGATCTGTCATTTAAATTGAGCATGAGCCCCCTTGGACTCAGTGAGAATTGCTTCTGAGCAAATTTAGGATTGATCCAGCAGCGCATTTGCAAGCTTTGAAATGTGTAATACAGTAGGTGAGGTACAATTCTTCTCTGTGGTGCTGAATTTTAGCTTGTGGGGCTGGTGTTAAGTACCCACATGCCAGTTTTGTGAGGCTGTTTTTGTTAAAGGTATTGTTTCATTCTAACTCAAGAGTGGTGGGTTGTTTTTTCTAAAAAACAACTCCTTTTTTGTTAAGCTTCTTTTTCTTTTTTTAAAGAAGGCTTCTGTGTTGGAATTTTTTTGTCAAAAAGGCAACCTTATCAAAATGGAATCAATGAATTGGTTAAACAAGGAGGTGATTAATCAGCAGTGGAATGATTTAATCACCTGACAAGGACTGGTTTCTGAGACATACACTTGTGTGTGTGTGTGTGTGTGTGTGCGCGCGCACGCGCACACACACACACACACACACAGAGTCTGCAATGCACATCTTCCCTCTAAACATGCCCCTGCATGCCTGACTGTCTTCTGGCTCCGGGCTTGTCCTCTAAAATGCGTTCCCAGCCAAGCCTGCTCCGGAGGTGGGGGAGGTTTGCCTTCAGGGATGTGATAAAAAGTTGTCTGAGGACAGATGAAAGCATGCCAACCTATTGTTTATTGAGCCGGTTTTGCTGCTCGTGAAGATTTATACCCCACTTTTCTCACAGAGGCCCGGCGGCAGCTTTTGATGTGTCCTGGCGCTACCAGTCTGCTTACTGGACCAGGAACAAAGTTCACAGAACCCTAAACAACTTGGAACTGAGTGCCTTAAGGACAACCTGCCTCTGATAGTGGTCACTTATGGTGGTCCTCCATTATATTGCGGTTCCCTGGTTTATACCAGGGACTGAGCCTTTAGTGTCATAGCTTTTAGCCTCCGTCTCTCATAACACTAGAGCGGATGGCACATCCTGAATGATGCAAGATTTGGGGCTGATAAAATACCTTCCTCATGCACTGCATCACAGGAGGCAGTGATGGCCACAAACTTTGGCTTTAAAAGAGAATTGGACAAATTAATGGAGGAGAAGGCTTTCAACAGCTACTAGCCATGGCGGCTATGTTCTCCCTCCACCGTCAGAGGCAGTAGGCCTCTGAATACCAGTTGCTGGAACCCACAAAAGGGGAGAGTTGTCCTGCTTTATGGTTTCGCACAGGCATCTGGTCAGCCACTGTGAGAACAGGATGTTGGACTGTATGGGACACTGGCCTGGTTCAGCAGGACTCTAATTATGTTCTTGGGTTCTTATTAATCTCTTACTGCAACAGAGCTGGGTAGTCTTTGGTCTGGTTGCACTGAGTCATCCATGGAGCCCCCGAGATCAAAGGATGGCAGCCACAATGTGGGAAATCCTGCTATCCTCTGCCGAGGCTCAGTGTGTTGTTTTTATTTCTCCCAGTCTTCCCCAGCCCCTCTGGATCTTGCTAGGCTCCCAACTCCTATCATCATCCCTGACATCTGGCCATGCTGACTGTTGCTGGGAACTAACAGGAGTTGTGAGTTCAGCAGCATCCAAAGGGTACCATGTTAAGCAAGACTCGGATCAAGAATGAGGATGTCCTGAGCTTCGGCAGAAGACTGCATAGAGTTTTCTGAACCCATTCAGCAACATCAAATCATTAGGAATCTATTTTTTGTTTGCATGTTATGTAATGCGCTTGTAAATGATTGTCAAGTGAGAAACCTTCGCTATAGAACACAAAGACGTGTGAAAAGTATACACTGAATCCCATCAACATCGGGAGCAAAAACGGGGAAGGGAGATGAGATAGAAAAACAGAGGGACAGGCACACTGCTCAGTTCTGGAGCATAGGATTTGTGTGGACGAAGCCAAATTCATCCTCTGGCATCTCCATTGAAACAGGCATTTCTCGGAAAGACCTCCAAACCTGAGACCACTGGCAGCTCCCACCAGTCAGAGGAGATGGTCCGATTCCCAAGCCATTTCATATGTTCTGATTAGGGATGTAAGAACGAGGGTGATTTCTGTTTCCACCTGCCTTCGTCACATTCAGCATTGTTTCCATTCCACTGCAGTTCGGTTTCTGCCGAATACTATGTTACGCATCTTGCTGTGCACTGTTTAACATACTTATTTAAGTAATTTATGGATTTAATGTCGTTAAGGACTTGTTTCCACATCTTATAAATGCTAGGGAAACACAATATGAATGGTGAGGGACTGCTCATTTATATATACTTTGTGGGCTGAAAATGGTGAATACTTGTTGGTGTTTGATGGATTTAATTTCTATTCTGGGCATGGGACGAATAAGCAGGCACCAGCAATTTCTGTTTCCATTTTTGATGGACTTCTCTGACATCTCTAGTTCTGATACACTCATTATGAGTCTGCTACACTCCTGTCCTCGAAATCCTGTCTCAAATGTCACTGTAAAAGCGAGCTGCTTTTTAAAGCTACTCGTTTATCCACATCATATACAGCCACGCACAAAGCAATAAATGTCCGAACTCCCATTCCAACCCAAGAGGAACCCAACAATTCTCTATAAAGGAAATCAAATAGTGTATCAGGACTAGCGTTCTTCTCAAAAGCTTCCCAGCCATATGTAGCACCTTGGCTCGTCTATGGCAAACAAGTGGTTGCTTCCAGCAGAAGCTTCACTCATTTAGACTGCTGAGTGCCTAAAAACATGTGGGCAAGCGATATAGTGAGAGATTTTTGTGGATTAGTGTCTTCTAAGGACTTGCAAGCAAGGCTGTCAAATGTCAGTACATGTCCGAAGAACTGTATTTTACTTTTTCTGAGGGGAGGGGGGAGCGGCCATTAGGGATGAGGGACAAATTCTGTTTGGTTCACATTTAAAGGTGAAAGTACCTAAATTGCACTTTCTGAAACAATACGTGAATCAAAACAGCCGTCCTGCAAAATTCACACCTCACTGAATTTTGCAACACAGTTCTCTGGGCAAGTGGGGTCAAGTGTGCATAAAAATACATCTGTCAGTGAAAATAATATACAGGCATGCATATTAGGGGACGTCGCTTTGCAAATGTGTGTATTAGGCAAAGTTGCATACAGAACTGTGTATACTGGGAGCAGCTCACACTAGAATTCTGATCAGTTTTCGTGAAGGCAAATCACAAACCAATGTGAAAATAACTGAACTAAGGATTAGAAATGAAAGAAACTTGAAAGCTGCTAGTTTCCTTTGAAAACTCCTCTCTCCTTATTCATTCATTTTCCTATATTTATATTCTGCCTTTCCTCCAGTCTTGGAACCCAAGGCAGCTTGCATGTGGTTCTCAGGAGGTATCCCATTCAGGCACAGACCAGACCCAGGCCTGATTTGCTTCTGCAAAGCGGAACCCGTGTGCCTTCAAACCATACCCATGCAAATGGCATTTTGCACGGTGGCCCACCAGATGCCTCTGGGAAGCCAGCAAGCAGGGGATGGAGGGTGACTTCTTCTGCACTTGGGGGGGGGGTCCATTTTTAGCCATTGTGGCCAATAGCTACTGATTGGTCAGGGCTCAGAAATCTGTTGCCTTCTAGTTGTTCTTGGGCTCCAACTCTCACCCATCCCTAAATAGCATGGCCGATGGTCAGGAGTGATGGGAGCCGTAGTCCAACAACATCTGGAGGGCCACAGGTTCCCCATTCCTGGCTTTGGAGGTGTGATACTGAGTGTCACATCCTTGCCATCCTTGTTTCCCCCCTGACCGTATCCTCTGCTCTCCCTTACCATGGCAGGATGGACCGTATGACAGAGGACGCCCTGCGCCTAAATCTCTTGAAGCGGAGCCTGGACCAAGCCGACGAGCGGGATGACGTCCTGGCCAAGAGGCTGAAGATGGAAGGGCATGAGGCCATGGAGCGCCTCAAGATGCTGGCGCTGCTCAAGAGGAAGGACCTGGCGGGCATCGAGGTGCCCCATGAGCTGCCCGTCAAGCAGGACGGCCTGAAGGTCTATGAGGAGAAGCTGAATGGGAACATGAGGCCCCACACGGACAGCCGGTCTTCGGGGAGGCCGGGGAAGGAAAACATCAATGAGGAGCCAGTGGACATGAGCGCAAAGAGAAGGTAGGAAGCCCTTTTGTGTTTGCGTGTATATCTTCCTATATACATAAATATGTACGGCTGTCATCATGCAGCCCCAGTGGAGGATTTGTAGTGCCTTATCCTGGGTTTCCATGAAGGAAAACCAAAGAGACCAAGAAAATTGAGTTTGGTGGTTGCATGGGGTAGGAAGGGGAAGCACTAGGGAGTTAATGTGGGGGGAGTGGCAGGGGGTCTTGGTTGGTGAGTGGAGCGAGCCAGTGAATGAATGAATGAATGAATATCTATTCCACCTTTCATTCTACAGTCATAGGGCTCTGTACTGAAGATAAAATAAAAACTTCAGTACCCTGAGTGGGGTGTAGCGGTCAGACAGTGTCGGACTAGGACCTGGGAGAGACCAGGGTTGAGACCCTTCACTCATCCATGAGACGCACTGGGGTGACATTGGGCCAATTGATATCTCTCAGCCGAGCCTACTTTGCAGGGTTCTTGTGAGGACAAAACGAGGAGGGAGAAACCCACATATACCACATTGAGCTCCTTGTGGAGAAGAGAAAGCAATACAAATGTAATAATGAGCAAATAATGGAAATGACAGCAACGTGTTAAAAAAAAAAGCAGCACCATAAAATGACAGTACAGTTGGGGGAGAAATTTATCAAATCCATCCAAACCATACTACCCTCTCCCTCCAAATGCTTGGCAAAAGAGGTATGTCTTTGCATGTCATCTAAAAAGAACAAAGCAGCAAGACATAACCTGGTATGGAGGGAGTTTCATATTTGTCATTAAGAAGGATAGGCGCACCCTTGGCTCAAGGATCTATTTATCTCCCCTTTTTGTTCTTGACAATATGGTGCAACCGTGTGGAATGTCTTAAGACTATGAACATTGCATGTCTGAAACTTTGGCAAGCCACTGCCAGCCTGTGTAGACAGCACTGAGCTCGATGGACGAAAGGTCTGACCTGCCTGATGTGGCAGATTCCCATGTTCCTAACTAGATGAGATTTTTTAATGATTCAGATCTAACTCATCACTTTAGAATAGCCACGCTTACAATAATTGTGGTCTGCTTATTTAATATATTTGCTTTGGGTGCCCCTTCCTAGGCCTTTCCTTTTCCCAAAGGCACTGAGGGGAGTTGTTGCCAATCACATTCTGTTCAGTTTTTTTCTTCTTCAGAGGAACGCAGTAATTGACAAAGCAGATGTGTTAATGGATCTGGGTCAGGCTTATTAATTTCAGTGGGGCTACTCTGAGTAGAACTTATTTGTATAAGACCCAAGGGGCTCCCTCCAGAGCCAGTATTTTGACACCCATCCTTTGTCAATTTCACCTGATTCCAATATGCTATGAAATGTCTCTCAAGTTGTGGCTTTTATATAATTCATTTCACGTGGTGTTCTCTTACACAGACACGTGTGTGTGTGTGTGTGTGTGTGTGTGTGTACGCGTGCGCGCACACACACATATCTCCAGCCCTACCGTTATTTATTTTATTTATTTATTTATTTATTTAATTTATTTAGTAAATGTCTATACCACCCTTCATCCGAAGATGACAGGGCAGTTTGCAATATAAAAACACAAAAATGCATAGCATAATAACAAACGAAAACAGTTAAAAAGGACATGGAACAGACTGTCTCAGGCTGGGCAATAGCAGTGAGGTCCTGGGAGGGGACAGAGTCATGCCTCCTGTGTGGGCCACACACTGCACCCCTGAGCTGGCGCGGTGCCCTCAGATGGAAGCTGACATAGGAAGCTGCCTCATACCGAGTCAGGCCCTTCGTCCATCTAGCACAATATTGTCTGCACTGACTGGCAGTGGCTCTCCGGGGTTTCAAGCAGGGGGCATTCCTGGCCCTACCTGGAGATGCTGGGAATTGAACACACAACCTTCTGCACAGAAAGCTGGTGCTCTGTCACCGAGCTGCAGCTCTTCCCTTCACCCCCCAGCCATATCCTAGCTTAGTTCAGTCATGCTGCCAGTAGCAGAGGAAGAGCCATTCCAGTCGGTTTCTCCACTCGAAAGGGAGACATTGCCACCTTGTCCATTGCCTCAGGCAGCAAAAGGCCCTGGGCTGGGCTGGCATCAGCATCCCTGTGCCAGTTCTTCTTTAGCGAAATCTCAGCTGCTCTGGTATTTTGCTGAAAGGCTTTGTTCGAGTTGATTGCTTTGTTTTGAATGCTGTGCTCAGTGGGCATTGCATAAAAGCATGGGCCCTTGCTTGCTGGATCAGGCCAATGGCCCCTCTAGTCCAGTATCCTGTTCTCACACTGGCCAACCAAACTGCGAACGGTTGTTCTCCCAGGAGGCCGCACCCGTAGTCTCTTCGCCCCCAGTGGATGGGGACCTCACTACATCCTTCAATCTGCCCCACCACCCCTGCCTTTATCACTGGTCCAGGGGGAGGGTGTCAACCAGCCCCAAGGTTTGACTGACATGGGCTCCATCTCAAGATGTGAAATCCTGACTCACTCGCTCAGCTCAGAGGCGCAGTGCCAGCCGTGGGAGGGAGCAAAGCGTCTCTAAGGCAGGAAGCGCCACGGGTGCCACTCTGTTTGGCGGGTGGCAGTGCTGATGGCGGCAGCCCAAGCTGCCTGCCTGCCATCTGCTCTTCCGCCCCTGCTCGCCGGTCATCATCATCCTCTTGTTCCCTTTGCACTCGAACAGAAGGATCTTCCGGGGAGCTCGGGGTGCGGGGCTTGGTTAGCAGAAGGCTGTCACCGACTGCTCAAAGAAGACCCCCTAAGAACATCAGAAAAGCCCTTCAGTTTAGAGGAGGCAGAGCTTAGCCTTTATGGAGGGTAGCCTCTTTCCTCCTTGAATTTACCGAATCCTCTTTTAAAGGCATCCACCCGTAATCCCTCTCATCAGGCAAGAGGAGGAGGCAGGTGGAATTGGAAGAGCTGGACAGATCAGACCCACGGGGACTGATCCGCCGCAGAGGATCTTGCTCAGTTGTGTCTCTGTGTTAATCGGGGGTTAGTGGGGTAGTCTGTGTTTTCCACCCTAGGTAAAATAATGCCTGTAGCAACACTTCTGCATACGCAACCTTTCCCCCAAACCCCCAAAGAAGTGGGGAGAGAAGCACTGCAGTCTCTTTACACTAGGGGCGTGGAAATCTGTGCACTTCCAGAGGGTGTTAGATTCTGGCCGACAGCAGCTAGCATGGGCAGTGGTTAGGGCGGATGGAAGTTAAGAAGCAGGAGGACAGGCGTTGCATTGATAAAGAACATAAGAAGAGCCCTGCAGGATCAGGCCAGTGGCCCATCTAGTCCAGCGCCCTGTTCTCGCAGTGGCCAGCCAGATCCCCGTGGGAAACCCCCAGGCAGGACCCCGAGCACGAGAGCACTCAGCCCTCCTGCATTTTCCGGGAACTGGGATTCAGAAGCACTATGGCCTCTGGCCATGGAGGCAGAGCACAGCCATTGTGGGTAGTAGCCACTGATAGCTTTCTCTTTCGTGAATTTGTCCAGTCCTCTTTTAAAGCCGTCATGGTTGGCGGCCACCACTGTCTTCTGTGAGGGCAAGTTCATAGCTCAGCTGTGCACCATGTGAAGAAGTTGTAGTGGAGGGTTGCTTTTTGAACTCAGCAATATGGTGCCCTCCAGGTCTGCCTGGAGTCCCATCATCCACAGTGACCCCTTGGCTCATGCTGGCTGCTGGGGCTGATGGGAATTGGTAGTCCAATGTGCTCCAGAGAGCCACAGTTCTCCCACCCCCTTGCAAATCCTTTGCTTTCTGTGAAAGGCTGAGGGTTACAGAGCAGGTCGGGATCTGTGTGAACCTATGGGTTCTGAAAATAGCCTTTTCAGGCACTCACTTTCAGAGTGGCATTTTCCCTCGCTTGAGATTGATTAAAGTTTAGTGTGCTTGACGCTTTGTTCCACCCGCCCCCCTCCTGAAGTGTGACATAAAGCCATCTGTGCTGGGGGAGAGCTGTGCAACGTTGGCCACACCAGTCCCACTTTCCTGTAGAGAGATTCCTGTCAAAGGAAGAAATAATTGCAAGGAGTTGGTCCCCCCCCTCCCCCGGGAAAAAAGCTTCAACAAAAAAATGATGACTGAAAAGCTAAGTACCCGATCACAGTTTTCATAAACCACGAAGTGATTTCATGGCATGAAGTGAGTAGGCAAATCTTATGACACAGATTGGGATTGAAGCAGGCTAAATCCTACTCAGAGTAAGACCGTTGATAGATTCTAGTTCATCATGGCCGTGATTTTGATGGGTCTAGTCTAGAGTAGGATTTAGCTGGATGCAATCCGTTATACCGAAACTTAATCCATCTCATTGCTTGTGGAGCTTCAGTGTGCTTGAAGTTAATGTGTCCGTCTTCTGACTGTACGGAGCTCTGAGTGTGCACTGGTGTCGTCTTCCAGTTTCATACCTGAGGCACAGTGCATGCTAATGCCTTGAAGCCGAGGCCTGTTGCTCTTGTCAGGATCCTAAGAAGTGCAGCTCTCATCTAGAGACTTGCAAGAGCCCCTCGGGCTTCCATCCCTCATTGTGTCAGAGAAAAGTTTGAAAAGCATGGAGGGCATCATTTGGGCCTCATGGTGGCGGAGGTTTTGAAAATGTATGGCCCCTGTATCAGTTGGTAGAATATTGCACGAGGTTCCTTATAACATGGAATACCACCTTTTCAGAATTCCCTCTTTAGTAGGAGCATGCATCTAGTCTTCTTGGGAATGTTGCAAATGTGTAAAAACAGAAAAGTTGTGGCTTTCGAGGCTTAGTACAAGGGGAATATGTGGCCATGTGCACATTACCCTTTACTCCTCGTCCACTGCTCTCCCACTGCTGGTTTCTGAAGCCGAGCACACATGACACGAGCCAAATGCCGTATGTATCCTGTACTCTCTTGAGAAGTCCTGCTGTTTCGTGTGCTTTCCTTCAAACCTGCTTCCATCCGATTTGCAAAAGTAACTCACCGTTAAGCTTGTGAGGTGTGTCCATTTGAGACAGCCATTGAGCATGCTCAGATGACAGCTTCACTTAATAGGAGTTTTGGGAGGAGTTGCAGGCCTAGGGAAACAAATCAGGTAATGCACGTCAGGTGAAGGCACCCCTGTCGGCGGCCGGCTGTGTATGACAGTGTTAAAATGTGACTTGAAATGGGGGGGGGCAGGGAGAGAATGATCTCTCTGCGTTTCGGTATGCTAATGTGTACATTGCCTGTGTGTCTGATGCTTAGTGTATGGGGGGATATGCATGTTCACGAGCATGCTCTGCCCAGCCCTCCATCCCTCCTTTAGCCCCATTCCTAGTTGTTCTGCTCCTCCCTTTCAACTGTTCCTCTCTAGTATTTGAGGCACACACACCCTCCCAGCCTTAATTCTACAAAAGCCCTAGTCGTGTGCACAAAATAAACTGTGCCAGTAGCATAAATTTACACACAATGCCCATTGGTCAGCCAAAGGCAAGGGCAGAGACAATTTTCCTGTTACAACGCTGATTTTGGGAGGGGGGTTAGTTGCCAACAAAAAAAGCCCTGTGTGATGTCATAAAGCATGGCAGCAGCGCTTGGTTACCGCTGGATGACATCGCCCCGTCTCCGAGTGACAGGAAGTGGCGGCCGCTGCTGGTTGCCCAGCGATTCCACTTCCAGGTCACTGTTTGACCCAGACCCTGCTTACAAATCCCTTCCTGAAAGGGAGAATCTTTCCAAGGTTGCGATGAGTATGGAGTTCAGGTATTTCCTCTTTCCTTGTGAAAACTCTGGGGCTTCTCTTTTATCTCCCATTTTCTTTATTTTGCAGTCTCTCTAGTTTAAAATTTCTTGCCACACGCCCTTTCTGGCTTTTCATGGAGCATTCCCCTTAGAATCAGTCTTCCTCATTGCTCCCTCCCCCCATTTTTGTTGTGCAGCTCCTTCGCAGGGACCAGAAATATTCATGGTGCCTGGCTTGTTCATCTCCTAGAAAATCTAATTCCCTGCTTGAACCAAATTAATTGGCCAACTACATGTTAATTGAGGATTAGAGGTTGACCTCCTGTCAGTTAATTGGTGGGGTTAACAAGCAAACACCCCTGAATTCAGGACACACTGGCTTGTCTCCCTCTTGCACCAAGTTTTAATATAAAGCAGAATCTTGAAAATGTGACTTTTTATTCCTGTTTGAATAAGAGTAGCAGCTAATTTTCCCTCTTTCCTGGTGGAAAGAGCCTGGCTTGCAAACAAATCCACAAGCGTCACTCTCCTACTCAGCTAGGCTAGCAATATGTGGAGTGACAGAAAGGAGCCATTTTGGTCACACACACGCACACACACCTATGATTGCCTGAAGGCAACACCGACTCGCCACAGGTGACTAGCTTAAATGACAGTTTACAAGGCTGGTTTTCTTTCAGTGCAATGAAATCATGGGCAGCCAAAAATCAATAGGGCTCAGCTGGCAATAGGTTGGCTGCCTGATCGAGCCTTAGGGCTCTTCTCATGTTATTCATAGCTAAGGAAGGGATTTCAGCCTTTCCCCCTGATTTGGTAGCTTTCTACATGCAACGCAGGCTTCTGTGTTTTCCTGTGTGGAAGGATTGAATGCTGTGGCACTCACATGGGGCCTGCGGTCTGGAACAGTACCAGCCCAATATGCCTCTGAATCACAGGTGGGGAAGGTGGCCGTTGAACATGGGTCCTTACGGCAAGTTTCCCACTGTGATGTCTGCTTGGCCACTGTGAGAGTGGGACACTGGCCGAGATGGGCCCTTTTGGCCTGATCCCAGCAGCAGGGGTCTTCTTAACATTCTTAGAACCTGTTGTGATTCCGCACGATGTGCGCAAGGAAAGCTCTTGGCGTCAGAGAGTGTGTGGTGCCTCTGAGATATCCACTGAGAGTGTCTCAAGGCTAGGAAGGATCCCTGTCACGGGGCCACATTCGCTGCACACACAGCCAGCATACCCATGTTGCTTTCTCGCTGTCAGATGTTTACAAATTCAGCCGCCTTGATCAGACCTTCAGTCCACCCACCGATGCAATCGAGTATCCCAGTCAGTATTATTGCAGCAGAGAAGTGTAAGGAAATAGACACGGAAGAGAAGGCTATAGAGCCAATGATCTGTCCTGGGTAGAGATGAGCCCCAGTGTTTGCTGTCTCCGTGGCTTTCTGCATCAGGGTTGGGCAGCCTCGGGCAAAAGGTGGCCCTTAGGACTCTTCCCCAGCCACACACCTCTCCCTGTGCATTGCCCTTCCCTGGGCCTTGCTTCACTCTCTTTGAGTGTTTTTGCCCTGCTGGAATGTCTCTTTGAACTCTGAAAAATTAAAACAGGGATGGAGAACTTGTGAGGCCTTCCAGGCATTGTCAGACTCCAAACTCCCATCAGCCCCAGCTGATGTTCGGCGTTAATAACGTCTGAAGGGCCAAAGGGTCCCCTTCCCTGCATTACAGACTGTGGGTCACTTTGAGAGAGAGAGATGGGCAACTCAGCATCTTTCTCATAATTCCCCATCCTTTTCTTTTTTAATTCAGCAGTGACCAGGACAGGGGACGGCTCACCCCCTCGCCAGACATCATTGTCCTTTCTGATAATGAGGCCTCCAGTCCCCGATCCAGTTCCCGCATGGAAGAGAGGCTCAAGGCTGCCAATCTGGAAATGTTCAAGGTAAGTGGCACCTCAGGCCAAGGGACTGAGCACATCCTTAAGGTGCGAAAGAGTGTGTGCAAGCTCTCAGGCCACACAGAATGCTTCTTCAGGTGGCTGTTTGTTTCTCATTTTGAAACTACTACAGCAAAGTGTCTTCGCAGGCCACATTCATGCAATAGGTTTAAAGTGCTGTGACACCACTTTAAAATGGCTCCCCTGGCCCAAGAAGTCTGGGAGCTGTAGTTTGTTGAGGGTGCTGAGAGTCATTAGCAGGCCTCTTGTTCTCCTTAACAAGAGCTACAATTCCCAATTTCCTGAGAAGAAAAGGGATTGATTGTTAAACCCCTCTGAGAATTGTAGCTGCATAATTCCTGGCAGGAGAGGGGATGTGTCCATTCTCCAAATGGACTGCAAATCCCATCATCCCTGACCATTGGCCATGCTGCCCAGGGCTGATGGGAGCTGGAGTCCAAGAACGCTGCTGAACTACAACTCCCATCGTCCCTGGCCGTTGATCATAGTGGCCACAGCCGAAGAGTGGTGCTTCCAGACCAAGCAGTCCTGCTTGATGGGTGTGGGCTGGCAGCCGAACTGCAAGTGTCTCTTAACCTTCCTTTCTCCTCCTCCTCCTCCACCACCACAGGGCAAAGGCATTGAGGAGAGGCAGCAGCTCATCAAGCAGCTGCGGGACGAGCTGCGGCTGGAGGAGGCCCGGCTGGTGCTGCTGAAGAAGCTACGGCAGAGCCAGCTGCAGAAGGAGAATGTGGTTCAAAAGGTAAGGCTTGAGTGGGGCCATTCTGGCGAAACGCAGGAGGGCACCCAGACTTCCCACCAGGGCACAACACCGCGCCTTGGAAATGTCAGCTGCCGCATTGGATCTGTCCGTCACCCTTTGCTCATTGGAGCAAGGAAACCATGTGGGTGCGCGGATTTCCCTCTCTGTATATGGAGATTCTCAGAAGCATCACCCAGAAGTGGCCAGGGACCATTGGGAACTGGTGGGGCAGAAGGCAAGGAGCCCAACAGCAGGTGGCACCAGAGAGCCGATGGCAAGCAGAGCCATCAAATTGTTATTTTGTTCCCCATCCTCCTCCTCTCCTCCCTGCTGAGTTCTACAAAGGTAGAATGGAGACGGGGGGGAGGGGACAAGACAACCAAGACTACCCTCTGAGCTTGTTGTGAGGCTGGGAGCTGGCTGAGATTGGGGAGGGGGGCAGTGCCCCATTTGCCCAAGCAGACTCGTCTCCACTGGCATCGCCAGTCCCTGCAATACATGTTCTCCCGTAGTCTCTGAGACCTGACTGTCCAGGCGCCTATTAACTGGGCTGCCCCACCATTGCAAAGGGGGTGCACCTCCCTATTACTCTGGAAGTGTAAGTTTTATCTTTGCGTAAAGTGAACGTTGCCTCCAGTTTCGAGCCAACAAAACTCTGCTCCAGAGATGGAGAGCTTTAGAGCATCCCAATCACTCAAGTCTCCCTATTTTCTTTCTCTCCTCTAGACTCCGGTTGTCCAAAACGCAGCATCTATTGTCCAGCCATCTCCTGCCCATGTCGGACAGCAGGCTCTGTCCAAACTTCCCTCCCGGCCTGGAGCTCAAGGGGTTGAGCCCCAAAACCTCCGAACATTACAGGTAAGAGGCCTGCAACATGGCAGTATGACCCCTTCTGTGTCCCATCTCTTGAGCGCCTCTTACCTGGCTATAAATGGAGGCGGTGCCTCATTTGTTCCTGCCTCTTCTCTCATCTACCATGCCATAGAGCAGCAAAGCGGATTTTTCCGTTTAGCGCAGGGTTAACAAACCTCCATCCCATGAGTCTGATTGGGCCTAGGCATGCCCACCTGCCCCAGAGCATCTGGTATAAGGGAGGTAAAGGCAGAGCTTTTCCGGATCGACTGCTCCCCTCGTAAAGCAGTTCCCAGGAAGCCTTTTGCCTGTGCTGTTCAAACCAGATCAAATCCTTTATTATGCAGTCACAGACCCACTAAGAGCATGCCGGAGATAAAAGCATGAGCAGTGAAACATGTGCTTGCTTAAAATACAATATAACGCAAGGGATAAAAGCATACATATATCTAAAATACTGTAGGCTACAAAAGATGAAAAACGTAAGATGCAAATTGGAATTAAAATGAAAGTATCATCTTGCGAGAACTTTGAACCCAAGCAATTTGATTTCTAACCATACTGGGGGAGTCCATTGATTGACAGGTGGTTGGCTCCGCCCACCTGTCAAACTTGATGCACTGGGGTGTGGGGAGATATAAAGGATCTGGCCTGCCAGCCAGGTCCAATTGCCCACCCCTACTTCATAGGTCTGTCCAGCTGCTTCCAAGAAATCCACCCCCCTCCCTCCGGCATCATTGTCGCAGTTCCCAGAAGTCCATCAGTGCTGTGCTGACCTTTATTTTTCTGTGCAAACTCCACCAAGTTGGAAGAAGGGGCCATGACCCTTTTCACTGGAATGGAAACCGTGCCAAGTCGCTCAGGAGCAGCACAGGGGCGGCTTTCCTGGGAAGTTATTTTTCTTCAAAAGTCAGTTTATGAAGACCTACCTGCGCACCCATGCCTCCGGCTGCCCCTGTAGAAAATGCCACAGTTCAAAGGACTGGAAATCAGTAGCACAGTTTTCATTTTCGGGAAAGGTTTTTAATAGACTTTTGGCTCACGGCCCTGGCCTGGCATGGGGATAAGGCAGTTAGGGCACCTGTCCTATGAGGAAAGGGGGAGCTGCTGTATACCTGAATCTCCCAACTAAAGCTGAGAAAGAGCTACTGTCCGTCAGCGTCAACAACACTGAGCTGCATGGACTCAGCATAAGGCAGATTCCGATTTAAATCAGCCAGTTTTCCAATGAGGGCTAGAATAGTAGCTGTAGTTTGGATAGATGCACATGCTTTGCAGACAAGAGGTCCCAAGTTCAGGCTGGGAGGGACCCCATCTTGAAACCTTGGAGAGCCTCTGCCAGTGGGGTATAGATCAGCCTTCCCTAACCTGCTTTGAGCCCCAGGTCCCAGCTACGCCCTACTGGGAATGACATGGGGATGTGCTTTGTAGATGCAGCACCGCAGAAGAAGTTGCAAACCTCGCCTTTGTTCCATGCTCTCCATCTCTCTAAAGCACACGCTTTTCTCCTCTTTGGGGCAGGGTCACAGCGTCATCCGGTCCGCCACCAACACGACCCTCCCCCACATGCTTATGTCGCAGCGCGTCATCGCACCAAACCCCGCCCAGCTCCAAGGGCAACGTGTCCCTCCGAAACCGGGCCTCATCCGCACCACCACTCCAAGCATGAGCCCCGCCATCAGCTACCAGCCAGTGAGTAAAGCAGCCCGGAAAGGGTGGGAGGGCCAGTGAGCCTGATCTTCTTGCACGGCCACCTTGCCCACGTGGCAGTTTTAAACTTTTGTTTTTGTGGTGACAAATTTAGGGGTGGGGCTTTGTGCAGCCCGAGGACAGCATTTCCATATGGGTAACCTCAGCAGAGGGAGGGGCCAGAGACAAAAGTGGGCTGAGCAATGGGTGCGTAGATCACCTTTGTACAGCAAGCTAGGTTTTATTTATTTATTAAGGGAGACAGGTGGCGCTGTGGTCTAAACCACTGAGCCTCTTGGGCTTGCCAATCAGAAGATTGGTGGTTCAAATCCCAACAGAGTGAGCTCCCATTGCTCTGCCCCAGCTCCTGCCAACCTAGCAGTTCGAAGGCACACCAGTGCAAGTAGATAAATAGGTACCTCTGCGGCGGGAGGGTAAACTGTGTTTCCATGCTCTCTATTTTTCATCACGGTGTTCCGTTGCACCGGAAGCAGTTTAGTCATGCTAGCCACATGACCCGGAAAGCTGTCTGTGGACAAACGCTGGCTCCCTTGGCCTGAAAGCGAGATGAGTGCCACAGCCCCATAGTCTCCTTTGACTGGACTTAACCGTCCAGGGGTCACTTACTTTTACCTTTTTATTTTTTATTTTTATTTTAGCTATTTATTTATTAAGTTTGTGTGATCAGTTGAAGGCCACATTCCAGACAGGCAAAAGCACTCAAGGAGGGTGTGAAGCAGGGCTGCTGGTGAGGGGGCGTGGCCTGTAGTTAGGGGGCGTGGCCTGGAGAGAGTCCCAAAGGTCAGAGAGAAAAGCCTTGGAGGGCTGCACACCTTTAACATTTTCTTTCTTGTCCCCTCTACACTCCTACACCTTTCCTCCGCAGCAGTCCAGCTCGGCCGTCCCCTGCCAGCGCACCACATCGTCCGCCATCTACATGAACCTTGCCTCCCACATCCAGCCGGGCACGGTGAACCGGGTGTCGTCACCCCTGCCTAGCCCCAGCGCACTCAATGACGCCGCCAACTCCCAGGCGGCCGCCAAGCTCGCCTTGCGCAAGCAACTGGAAAAGACTCTCCTGGAGATCCCGCCCCCCAAACCGCCCGCCCCTTTGCTCCACTTCCTGCCCAGCGCAGCCAACAGCGAGTTCATCTACATGGTGGGGCTGGAGGAGGTCGTGCAGAGCGTCATTGACAGCCAAGGTAAAGGCCAGTGTCGGGGCGAGGGCTGCAGCATAGGCAGTACAGCTGGGTTGAGAAAGGGTGTCAGAAGGAAATGAGCTGGAAATCCCGTTTCCCATGCCTCCTGATTCAGTGAACAGTGCCAGGGGACACGGGGAACTAGCCTATTGCTGTCCGCCTGATGGAGCCGTCCTGTCACAGATAAAACTGTTTTAGTTATTGGTACGCTTATAAGATTTTTTAAATCCAAAAACATTATTATTCTGCTCCAGGGTAGCCTGACAATAGAGGCAAACTGGGCCACACTCACTCGCGTTTGTTTCTTTGCATAAATGAATGTTTAGCTTGTGCTAAAAGTCATTGGAATTCTGAACCCTGGAGGTCTTCTCCGCACCCCCTTGGCCTGGAACGGTTCCTGAGAGAAAGGTCCCCCTTCCTTTGTGTGATGCATCTTCTTCTACCCCTCTTTCCCAGGCAAAGGTTGTGCTTCCCTCTTGCGAGTGGAGCCCTTTGTTTGCGCCCAGTGCCGCACAGACTTCACCCCGCACTGGAAGCAGGAGAAGAACGGCAAGATCCTGTGTGAGCAGTGCATGACCTCCAACCAGAAGAAGGCGCTTAAGGCTGAGCACACCAACCGGCTGAAGAACGCCTTTGTCAAAGCTCTGCAGCAAGAGCAGGTGGGTCCCTGTAGCCCTGTCAGTGGGAGGGAGGGAAGCCCAGTCAATCCAGGTGAACTGAAAGAGGTTCGTGCTTCCTGTCCCTCTGAAGAAGAGACATAGCTCAGTGTCAGAGCTCTGCAACTAGAAGGTGCCAGGTTCATTCCCCAATGGCACCACCACGATGGGCTGAGAGGAGGTTTCCTGAACGAAACCCTGGCGAGTTGCTTTCCCTCAGTTTAGGCAACACTGAGCTCAGTGAACTCAGTATTAGGCAGCTTCCCATGTTCCTCATTGCTCAACGTACATTTTGAAGGGCTGTAGCTCAGTGGTAGAGCGTCTGCTTTGCACGTGGAAAGATCTGGGTTCAATCCTCAGCATCCCCGAGTAGGGCTGGGCAAAGATCCTTGTCTGAAACCATGGAGAGCTAGTCAGTGTCGGCAGCACTGTGCTAGGTGGATCCAGTCGTCCACTGACTCTTTATAAGGCAACTTTACAAGGTCCCTGTTGAATTCTTCGCCGGTGTTTTCCCCTTGCACATTTATTCAGCATGAATAAAGTGTTTTGGAAACCAACTTTGAAACAGTCATCATAGCTTCCCCTTCCTCTTCTCGACCCTGACACCTTGGGGTACTGGGAATTGTAGTTTGGGGAGACAGCAGTCCCCTGAAATGAATGCACGGGGTTAGATCGGCAAGATTCACTCCCAAGGAAAACCAGCAGTGGAAAGCTAAGTTTTTCAGGTCTTCTCGAATGTCAGAACTGAGCAAGTGTTAGCTGGAAGAGAGCCCCACCAGCAGGAAGGCCCCGTCTCATGCGCTCACCAAACTAGCCAGTTTCAGTGGCTGGCACACAAACCGGGCCGTGGATATTAGACTGCAGGCAGGGTCATCTGAATGCAGGCTGTTTGCGGGGTGGGTGGGCGGCCTGTGTGCCGCCAGATGACAGCCACACGGCCCAACTCATGACCAGTCTCTTCTTTTTCCCTCCGGCAGGAGATAGAGCAGCGGTTGCAGCAGCAGGCAGCATTGTCCCCCACCGCCACTCCCGCCAGCGTGTCCAGCGTTAGCAAACAGGAAAGCATCATGCGACATCACACACTCCGCCAGGTGAGAAGCCCTCCCTCGCCCAGCCCCTTCTGGCAAAGTGGCCCCTTTCACATCCCACAGCCGCCAGCTGTTCGGCTACCCCCTACCCTCAAACAACCTTCTGATCTTGTCTCCCGGGTAGCCCATTCACCTCCCCTCCAAAAGCAAAAGGTTGTTCTCGTGTGATGTGGGGTGGAAGAGCATTCAATCCGAACATTCAGCAGCCACAGAAGTTTTGTGGTGTGCTTCTGGAACTTTGCTGGCCGCTCACTGACAGACCCCCTACAAACAACCTTCAGAGAAGGAACGGAGGACGGCAGGCTGGTCCTGCTGTAAGAATAGTTAAACGGACAGGACTAGGTAAAATGAAGCGAAGGAAGGTTTGAGAGATCGTGAGATGCGTGATTTATGATACGTATGAAGCAGCAGGGTTTTTTTAATACCCTCTCTCTGCTGCGAGAGTTCCACGTTTTGGAATGATGGAATATTGGAAAAACCTATCTGAAAATAGATTAAGTTTAATAATACGCCGCTGAATAATACAATTCAATGTATCTAGATTCAGATAGGTAGCTGTGTTGGTCTAATGCAGTCAAAATAAAAAATACTAAGGTGCTACTGGACATTTTTTTATTTTTTTATTTCGAATTCAATGTACGTTTGTTTTTATAATGATAGCGTAATCATCATTATTCCTACAATATTTTTGTGATTGTCAGTTGTTTGGAACTTAATCTTATTTTAATCTTTAATTGTTGTTAATCCACCCCGTGGCCTTAGGTAGGGCAAAGGGCAGGTAACTGATAATGCATTTTTTTTGTGTGTGTGTGAGAGAGAGAGAGGGAGAGGGAGAGGGAGAACGAACACTGGAGGGTGGTCCATTAAGGTGAATGGGGCGCTGTCCCACCAGCTTCAGCCAGCCCCCATCTGCCTACCTTCACAACCGGTCCAGGGGTGGTTCTGGCTCTGCCTGCCATAGTTTCTGCCTCCACTTACTTTTGGTTCCCTTCCTTCTTCTCCACCAGTTCCAGCAGATGCCAATCACGCCTCCTTTATGGGATATATTTGTTAAATTGAGTAGCAATAGTAATATTGAAAAATGAAATGCAGTAGAGCTTTGAAAACCCTGTGTGCCTTATGCAAACCTTTATCTTAACCCTCCACACAAAATTACTACACCGTCTTCTTATTCCTGTCCACTCAAAACATGTCTGGTTGCGTGCTGAGTAATTCTTGTCGGCAGAAAATGAATCTCCAAATCAGCACTGTGAATCGCTAAACACCGAGTGGAGTTTGGACCCGATACTTTTATTTGTTTGTGCCCCACTCATTTTCCTGCTGTTCTGTTTCCTCTGCCCCCCCTCCAGGCACCGCAACCCCAGAGCACCCTGCAGCGTGGGATCCCCACCTCGGCCCGCTCCATGCTGTCCAACTTTGCGCAGGCCCCGCAGCTTTCCGTGGCGGGAGGCCTTCTCGGCATGCCAGGTAGAGTCTTCCAGAATTTGGGGGGTGGGGGCAGAGATGCGCAGAGGACCCTGCCTCAATATATATCCTGCCCTCTTGCAGCCGATCCCAGCAGAGGTCCCACAGGAAGGGATCATTCAGCCCCAGGAAGAGAGTTGTCCAGATTGGGGGGGGGAGTTTTTGGGTGGCTGGTTCACATTCAGACCACATGGCTGAACCTTTGTAATGGGCCAGGGGGCGTCCATCATAGTGAGGGCCAGATAGTGTTGGAAGGGAAAACCAGTGTATTGCAAGACACACGGAGACATAAATCCCTGTGCCTCAGGGCAAGGGGGGAATCAGTCTCTCTCTCTTACATGCATTGAATAATGCAAATGACACGGACGATTTTGTTGAAATATGGCATCCTTTTATAGAATACTTTGCCAATACCCCTGAAGAATGGCAGCTACTGCAATCACAGATTAGACTTCAGCAAACTTAACTAGATGGATCTATCCTGGAGTGGGGGTCAAGTTGGGGTTCTGTTCTTGTATCTTTTTGCTCTTTTCTATAATTGTTATATATCGGAAATTTTAAAAATATTCTTTTTTTAAAAAGACAGGAAATTCAAAAGGGGCGCGTTTCAGCCAGGCAAAAGCACTTAAGAAGGGTGGGAATCGGGGCTGGCGATGAGATTGGGAGGGGCCGCGTTTGGCCCCTGGCCCTGAGGTTCCCCACCCACACTTGAGACACATTCCCAGGAGAGGAATCGGCTGCCTGTGCCTCATAGCAGAAACGTTCCTACCTCTTCCTCTTCCCAGGTGTCAACATCGCCTACCTGAACGCCGGGATCGGGGGCCACAAAGCGTCAAGCCTGGCGGACCGGCAGCGGGAGTACCTTTTAGATATGATCCCGCCACGCTCTATATCGCAGTCCATCAGCGGGCAGAAATAACGCCAGCTGCGCCCCCCTCCCCACCCTTTCCCCACCCACCTGCCCCCCCCCTCTCATCCGTCGCATGCAGTGCCTGTACTGGTGCCTACCATATGTGGAGGAAAAGACAAAAAACGAAAAAAGACAAAAAAGAAGACGACAAAAAAAACCCACAAAAAATGAGAAAAAAAGACAAGAACATTTAAAAAAAACAACACTTCAGTGACCTGCCCTCTTCCGGAACCAACTCTCCCTCCCGCTTCTCTTCTCATCTCCGGATTTTGTTTGCGGGGAGAGGCCAGGCGCCCCCGTCCCTCCTCCCTCCCTCCTTCGCTCCGTTCCCGAGGTCAGAACGCGTCTGCTTGGATCCTGCACTATACACTATGTTAATGCTTTGTTTTACGCTCCCTTTTATTTTATTTTTTAATTTGTAATGATAACGCGTAGAATTTTTAAACTTGTTGTGTTCTTATTTTTATTTCCCTTTGGCTTAAAACGGACGGCTGAGAGAGAGAGCGCACCTTTTCTTTTTTGTTTCTTTTTTTAAAAAAGGAAATCTTTCTTGAAACTTTGAAAGGCTCCTCCTCCCGAAAGCTGATCGGGGCTGACTCAGGGCTTTCGGCAGAGTTGTTCCAGGGGCACCCCAAGGTGGGGAGGTGTGGGCCACCCCCATGGGTGTGGCCGACCATCTAGAAGGCACAGCCCTGGAAGCCGACGGCGTCTCAGAGAGTCATCCCTGGTTTGGGTGGGTTTCTTTGTTTCCAAAGGAGTGGGCTAGAGGGGCATGAGCTGGTTGTTGGCAGAGCAGGGCACGCGTCTCTGAAACGTCCGTGCCAGGGAACAGACACCGCCTACGCTCTTGGAGACGGGCCTCCGAAGACGAACTCTGCTGGGTGCTTTCAAACGCTCTTTGGCTCTCTTCACCCCTCTGACCTGTCGGCTTCCCCCAAGCCTGCCACCCTGTCCGGTCTCTGTTACACCGCCCCTTTCCCAGACCAAAGGAGCTCCAGGCATCACGTCGGTTCCCCAAAATGTTTCTCCGCGGAGCCATCTCTTCGCTTGTCTCTCCTGTGCCGCGAAGGCCACCGTTGACAGGCCAGGAACATCTTGCAGCGTTGCGTCGGCGGAGGATACCAGGATGTGTAACCGGCTTTCTCTGCCCACCCTTCAGTTGCCGGGGGAGCTTCAGCGAGAGAGAGAGAGCGCGAAATGTTTCAAGGTCCGCCACTGCCACCCGAGTCCTCGAGATCAGCCCCAGAGGCGTTTCCCTGACATCGGACCCTCGCGAGCGGAGAGCGAATTGCTCAGTCACACCCCAGGCCGCTGCAGGAGCTCTTTGAGCTGTACTCCACCCTGCTCTGCTTTGTTTAAATTTTCTGCTTTTTCTTCTCTGCTCCTCCAGTCGTGTCTCCAGTCTGAAGCGATGGGGAGGGAAAGGGAGCGTCCCTCTCTCCCTCTCGGGGTTCCCCCTCCCCGCCGGTCTTTTTTCACTCGCGTCCCCCTTTCGGAAGCACTGAATCAAGGACCCCAAAGCCCCCTGAACTCGCGCACACAGGCATCCCAGCCGGCACTCCCCACCAGGTCTGTGGTATCCCCTCCCCATGCCTGTGCTTCCTCTCCCTCCCCCCAATCACTGAGCACTTAACAAAGAAACAGAGGTGGGGGGAACCGCCCATGCGTTGGGAGGGGCCGCCAGATACTTTTCATAAGCTAGCAGCAGGTTAGCATTGCAGGTGTGTGTAGATCAGGATAGCTAACTCTGAGGTTCACCCGCTCTGATGTTGCCAGGCCAGTTGTCCCATCATCCCTGGGTTATGGTCCAAGCTCCCTGGAGCTGGTGGAAGTTGGTGTCTGGCCGCATCTTTGAGGGCCACGAGGTTAACTATCAATATATACATACATATATATATACACACACACACACGCAAGACAAGCAACCCAATAGTTTCTGTTTCACTGGAAAGCTTTTTCTTTTCGCTCCAGGATCCTTCCGACTGTCACGATGCCGGAAGGAAGGTTTCTGCGTCTTAAGATATCTCCTCCACGTGCTACACCCTTCCTTGCCTCCTTGAGGACCCCGACCCCTCACCCACCCTCCCCAATTTGCTTAAATTGGATCTACGATCTTCCCTCACCCCAAAACAAGTGCCATTGTCCTCCCCGCACCCCTTCCCCCTTTAGAATCGGGCGTTGCCAGGTGTGAACCAGTTCCAGCCACCTAGTGTTATTGGGGAGGGGGCGGGTATCCTTTTGGTCTTGTGTTGTTGTTTTCTATTAAAAAATAATAATACGGTGATGTAAGAAATGTGCAATAATTATTGCCTCTGCCTTTCAGGGCCCAGGCAGAGGCTTTGGTGGCAAGCATTGAATGGTAGCAAACCAGCCACTACTTTGGAGTTTTGGGGGTGGGAAGGCAAGGATTAGCCACTCCCCCCCTCCCCACCGCCATCACCACACTGGGGTGGCATATATGGCTTTGGCAGTAGGGCAGAGGACTCCCCCCACCCCGCCCCCTGGAAGAATCCTGCCTATTGAATCAGTGCTTCTCTCATTCTCTGGCTCCCGCCAGTCTTTTCCTACCCCAAAGGGTGACCCCCCAACAAAGTTCTGCTCCGATGAGGCTCTTTGAATTGAATGGACCTAAGCTAGTCATCTCCCACCCACCAGGGCTGTTCTAAAAACTAGTAACGACCCAAAGTTTGCTGTTGTAGACCATCCAGCCAGAACTTGTTCTCTTCCACACTCTTTCTGTTGGGGCCACCTTTTGCCCTGCCTGCAAAATGTCCCTCTCCAAAAGGAGCCTGGAAGTCTGCTCAGCAGACCAGCCCGAGGACCACAGAAGAGGGTCTTCCCGGTGGTATTAGCAGCCAGCCTCCTTGCAGAATAAATTCGCTCCTGGCTCAAACTTTCCAGGTTGGCAAAGATTTCTCTTTTTTTGGAAGCAGGTGTTTTGGGATGAGGGAAAGGCACTGATCTAGGAAAGATTTCTTCTTCACCTCTTTTTTCCCCCTCTCTCTCTCTTTAGCACAGAGGGGAGAAGAATGGAGGGGGGGCATTTCTATAGGGGAGAGTGGGGAGACTGTCCTTCCTTGCGCACTCAGGCAGGTAACTCCACTTTCGCTTCCCCTGGGAGCTCGCCTCTTTAGCATAGAGCAGGAGCGTGGCCCTTTGGCACTTCTGCCCGGTGGCTGGACCTACTCAGCCAATTTGGAGCAGGTCGGGGGGGGCTTGGCTCCCCACCCCCTCAATCCCCCTCTTTACAACAACGTCCCTTCCCAGGATGCAATATTTGCCTGCGGTGGACACACAGCCCCATAAATCCCTTTCCACCCGCCCCATAAATCCCTTACTTTAAAATTGATTCCCATCTTTCTGCTTTCCTAAAGCCAACAAATGTCTTTCTCTCACATATACACACACAAACCCATTTCTCTCTTTGTTTTTCTGAGGGGGCTGGGGGTGTAATGTAGAAAACCATCCTTTTTCATGGTACAGAATTAAGGGTTTCCTTTTCCATCTTATGGGTTTTTCCTCTCTTTTCCAGATTAGTCATACGTGCTTTGCGGTTGATGCTGTTTTTATTTTTCTCCCACGTTTCTTCCATGGGGGGTTGGGGTTGGGAGGAGAAGCGTAACTCGCCTCCCTGGGCCTCTGTTTCACTCCCCCCGCCCCACAACCTCAGTTTCCTCTCCTTCCCCCCATTTTTTTCGCTCCCTTTCTCCTCCCCCACCCCCACCCCTGACGAGCTCTTCTTAGCTTAACAATACTTGCTGCCGAAACGTTATAACTAAAGACTTTTCTTCGTTGTATATAAGCTATTTCTTGACACATTTAAAAATAAAAAAAACGAAAACTGAAAAAAAAAGAAGTTTGGGGGCGGGGGTATGGAAAAGCCGACAACAAAAAACAAACAAACCGGGGTGGGTAAATTGTACATTTGTGTAGAGAAAACAAAAACGACAAAAAGAGAAGACAGCTTAGCCATGAATATTGTGAAAGTTGTTTAACGTCCTTTTTGTAGTGTGACCTTCTTTGTGTACGGCGTTTAAAATGTGCAAAAGGCAGTTTCCTGGAGATCGGGGGGGGGAGGGAGGAGGCTGGGGCGGGGCGCTATGCAGCTCATGTCACCCGCCCCACACGTTACCCACCCACACCCCCCCAAAAAAGCTGAAGCGGACTTGGTGGTAGCCATCATTTCCCCCAAAAGGTGCCTTTTCTTCCCCTTGTGTCAGAAGCAAGGAGTCCCACGAACTACCAGCATGCACACGGACTTTGAGCCTTGGTAGAGGCCACAGGCCCAGGGGCTCCCTCCCCATCCCTGTAACCCCCCCAACCCCAAGTTTTCACAAACGGGGGAATCAAATACTAGTATTAAACTATCAATGTATTTGCACTGTTTGTAACGAATGCTTTAGGCTTGAGACAGCATACACTTCTCTCGACTGTTCCTCATCCGGCGTCCAGACACTCAGCTCCCACCGACCCCAATTTCCAGGGGGAGACAGTACTTCTCCCTGCATCTCCCCTTTCAACCATTTGCTGATCCCTCTCAGCTTCATCGCCTTTCATTCCTTCCGCCTCTCAGTGATCCGTTTTCTATCATTCCCGCCCCCCCCCAAAAAAAACCCCACTCTGAAATATCAGTGACATTCTAGGGACTGTTTGATATTCTTTCCCCTGCGCCCCAAGAAAGTGCATCCAGGATTTGAGTTCCTGAAAATCTTGGGTTGTGTTTTTTTTAATTATGTGGACCGTGCATCTATCCCTCATGGTTCCAGCACACCTGCGAAGGTTTCCACTCTCCAGGCGGGCAGAGATTGTGCTCTGCTTCACTAAGCTTTTCATCCATAAGTGTGAGTGTGCATGCATGTACATACAGGAAGGGAGAATGTGACTCATTCCACGTCAACCGGCCAATGCCAAACAAGTTCAAAGCCCATCGGCACAGTGGGGAATATCGGGCTTAATGTCTCTCGTACGAAACCTCCGTCAGCTTCAGCTTTCTGGGGATGGAAAGGTGTAATAGATTCTCTACGAAAGGCAAGCACTCCAGTATCTTTGAGATCCGTTGAGTGTGAAGAGAGCCGCTTAAAGGTCTTGTCCCATCTTAATTGGGAGCCTGAAGTCTTTGCATGCCAGTATGTTCTGAGTAGAGTCCTTAACTGTCAACCCCACCAATTTAATTGAGGGCCATTCTCACGAGCTGTCTGACCCTCTTATGGAGGGCTCTTCAAGAAATGGGCCTTGTCTCTTATCTACTTTGGAGAACAACAGTTCCAGAAGTGGACCAAAGTGTGCTGCTTTCGCATCTTGTTCGGCCCTTCCTAATGCCTTTTGTTTATTTGCCCTTAAGATTCCAGGGCGTCTGATTCCTAACACTCCGGGGAAAGTTTGGTTCCTTTTTCCAATGCTATTTCATTTCCCTTTGGACCAAGTCAGGCGTTTGGGAGTAGCTTTCTGACTTCTTGGTCGGTGTGCTCACTTCTTGATTCTTTTTATAAAGCCAAGCTTCTAGTCTTTATGACATTACTAAACTCAAGAGGACTCCAGCATTTAAGGGCTGTGATTTTTGCAGCCTGCCATTACGGGTGCATTCTTTGTGAGTTCCTGTCATGCACTCCAACACCCCAATATCACCTCTCTTGGAAATCTATATTTGAACCCCCAGGTGCGGAGGCTTCGAGGAAAATCTGAGCAAAGCTGTTGTGAAACCAGAATGTGTTCACCATTGATTTGAAGGATCCTGTGTATGTGTGTATGTATGTATGTAACCTGAGGAACAGTATCACGTTTTTAAATTTTGGTGTCACATGACGAGCCCCCAGAGCTGACTTAATGATCCATCCCACATTTGATCTGCAGCATGCTGGATAACATTGACTGGACTTGATGGGTAGCCGAAAAGCACTTTCTCACCTTCCCATACTTCCTGGAGTGTAGCCCTCCTGATGTGCAGGTTGCATGCAGTGCTGTTCCCACTTGGAGTAGACCCATTGAAAGCAATGGCCGTGACCAACTTAGGCCGCTTTTCATTTCTGCGGGCTTGCTCTTGAGTATACCTTAGGTGAGCACAACCCTGCATCTTCACATCTCTGGTCCTAGACCTCTCTCCCTCAACCATTCAGCCGATGGCGTGGTCCCAGTTCCCCCCTCTTCTGTCTCCTGGCCTGAATTCAGAAACCCGCACCCCCAGTTGAGCAAAGTATGCAGAGGCTTCTCCTGCGAAGAGGGTGGGAGAGTCAACCTGATGAACATCAGATGGTCCCTTTGCCGCCTTAGGGGTGGTTCCGGCTGTGTGGGGAAGGAACGTGTGGGAATCCTTCGTCCCTCCTGATGTTGCTAAGCGACAGCTCCCATCCCTAGCCATTCACCGTGCTTGCTAGGGCTGATGGAAGTTGTAGTTCAGCAACATCGGGAGGGCCAAAGGATTCCCACTTGTGAGGTGTGGACTCCTGGTGCCCTCCCTCACCTGAGCACTTCTTCCTTGGCCAACTCTTTTTCTGTACCCTCTCGACCTGCAGCCATGCTCACCATTCCTTGCACCAGGCAGTTGTCTATGAGTCAACCTTACTCTAGCTCTTGGGAACCAGCCACCACCTCTTAATAAATACGCTCATAATTTCCCCCCTACTTAACCTCCACCTTCTCTTTCCCTCCACACTCCCATTGTGGATCCTGTATCTCGTTGGGGTCCCCCCCAGCACAACATGATATCTCCTGCAAGGATCACAGCAAATCCGGGGAGGTCAGTTGCAACCGTCCTACAGCCATATGTTACAGAGGCAGGGTTCAGCTTCACCCCCCTATCCCTTCGGGTCAAGAGCAATGGTTGTCTCCTTGCTGGGGCTGCCGGCTATCAGATCAAGGGCCTAACTTGCCAGAGAGGCCCTTCTTCCTCTCTTCCCCCCCCCCCAAAACATCCCATTTTGCCATTCTCCCTCTTCAGCCTTCAATTCCTCTAGCTCAGGTGGGAAGCTGCAGCCCTCCAGATGTTGGGAACCTGTGGCCTTCCAGATGTTGCTGCAATGCAGCTCCCACCATCCCTGGCCGTTTGGCGCACGGGCTGAAGCTGATGGGAGCTGGAAGTCCGGCAACAGCCAGGGGGGAGCCACCGATTCCCTGTCCCCACAGCACGAGGGGCTCACGGCACCACGAGTCGTTCCGTTGCAGGAGCAGGGTGTGCGTGTGTTAAAAAGACAAAAAATTCACGAGGCTTAGCACACACACACCAATTTGAAACCCGGGGCAGCGAGAGATAGCTGAGCTCAGGAGGGATCAGAGAGAATTGCAGCTGCAAATTATCGGGGTGAAGGGGGGGGGAACCTTGGTGGAAATCGGGCCTTTTGCACAATTTTAAGAGGGCTTTTAATTTTAATTTTCCGCATTGTGTTTTTGAAAATCCGGTTTAAAAGGAGAAGGAAGGAAGAAGAAAAAAAGCTGTTTAAATATTGCCAATTGATTATGCAGTGACCTGATTAAAAATAATAATAATAAGCTAATTTTTGGAGAAAGGATTAAAAAAAAAACTTTGTAATATTTATCACTTGCAAGCTATGTTTAATAAAGAAAGGAATGGTTTATACATTTTGATGTGACTGGCGCATTTTGGATTTGCTGACGGGGAGATGCGGGGAGAGGTGTTTGGAGGCAGCACCGTAGAATTATTTAAAGGACACTTGTGTTTGCATATGGGTCACCGATCAGCATCCTTGGGCCGGGGGCGAAATCTTCAGGGACAACTTGTCTCTGCCATCAGCTACTCACCCAACTCCTTGGGCTAGTCCCCCTAGTGGTGAGGAACAGCTATCACTGCCCTTCTAGCATTTGGGACTAAGTCTGGTTTAGAGAAAAGGTGAGTAAGAATCTCCGGCCTGCAGGACCTCTCTTGCAAACTCACCTCTGCCAGTTGTTTGTGGATGGATTTGTGAGCGTAGGGTGTGTGCATGCAGATTCGTTGTGCGCACAGCTTTGACTCCGCCCATGGTTGGCTTTGGCCCCGCCCACCACTGGCACAAGCCCCACCCATCTTGGGGCTTTAAAAGGCTCCCCCTGACTTAATCCATATTCTCCCCCAAGGTCCTGGAACCAAAGTCCCTTCCCAGCCTTGCAGCTGGAGAACTTTTTAACCGGACGGGGAAATGGGGACCTTCAAAAGAGGTGCTGAGAAGCCACTAAACTTATGCCTCCTCTTCTCCATAACTTCAGAATTGTGTAAAAAAAATAAATCACCCTTCAAATATTTTTTATAAAATAATATTTTATATTCTTTTCATCTCAAGGCATTTTTTAGTCTGTGGAAGTTGCATTCCAAACTAGGTGAGTGAGCAGTGAATGCCAGCTTTTTCAGGAAACCCTCCAGAATTTGCTTGGGCTGATTCAGTTACGAAGGTAACCGATGGGCCATTAGGTTAATAATAATAGTAATAATAATAATAATAATAATAATAATAGTTCCTATCTCGCCCTTCCTTCCAATTGGAGCCCAGGCTGGCAAGCATACAGTGCATAAGAGTTAAAAATGAAATGTTTAAACGCTGTCAAAACTTTTATCTGGGAGCAAACCGTAGAGGTGTTTTAACACTTGAAGTGTATGTTTTTAGGTTGTAAGTGGTTTTAATACTGTGTTTTAGGGCTGTAACCTGCCCAGGGACCTTAGGGGGAATGGCAGGAAATAGATGATCAAAATAAACTTAGGCTGCAGTCCTGTGCTATGTGTTTTATACATTTAAAGCAGTATCATACTGCTTGAAACAGCCACAGCTTTCCCCAAAAGAATCCTGGGAAATGTAGTTTGCTAGTGGCTCTGAGAGGTGTTAGGAGGACATTTCTCTTACAGAGCCACAATTCCCAGAGTAGTTTAACAATCCATCCAAGGGAACAGTGGGAATTGTAGCTGTGCTGGGAAAATAGGGTGTCTCCTGTAACAACTCCCAGCACCCTAACAAACTACAGTTCCCAGGATTTCTTTGGGGGAAGCCATGACTGTTTATAGTGCTGTGGTGCTTTAAATGTATAGTGCAGATGGAATCTCCTCAGAATATCCATTGAATGTCCCGTCAAAAAATGATACTAAGAAAAAGCTAGACTCACTCTTTTTAAATTTCATTCTGTGTGTTTTCAGATTCATTGCCCAATGTCAATCTCTGCTAATGGGTGAAAAATTCCTTTCCTCCTGCCCCCTCCCACAGAAACAAAACAGAGTACAACCAAGGGTTGTTTTGCACATTGGTTTTTTTTTAATTTTCAACACAAGACAAGAAAGATTTCCAGACATCAACCCTGCATCCTTGAGGTTTTGAAACCTTCGGTGGCTACCTCTCTTAGAACCAAGCTGTAAAATTGGGGCCAGTGCAGAAGGTGCGATACAAACGAGTTACTCTTGGGTAGGAATAGGAGAAATCTCTCCTGGCGGTTCATTGGTCTTGTTTGTTTTAAATCACAAAAACAAGGGGACAAGTTCACATGATGGTGTAACGTGAAATAAAAAAAAATCATGAAAAACCATTTTCAAATTCAGAATGGAGTTTTTTTTATTTTAAAAAAACCTTCAATAAGGTGAGTTTTTAAAATGATGCTGTACAGTACAACATATGGTATTTTCAATTTTTCCTCCTTAAAAATATTCAGCAGCATCAAAAAAGGGGAAATTTAGAATTAAGAGAAATTTTGCAGGCCAATTTAAAGTGAGGAGAATGTTCTGCCAATTCCAACTTTCCCCTTCCATTTACACATTAAATTCCCCTGTGGTGATAGGGGGGAGTTCAACATTTGGTATCATCCTCCCAGTTGCTTGGATGCCTTATGATGCCAGTTAAAGCTGTCTCCGCACCCTCTCGCCTTTTAAACCCCGATCTTGTTGACACCTAGTTAATTCTTTGAATCGGCTGAGGAGCCCCCTGGAATTTCAAAACCACAAGTTGCCTTTCTGTTTGTAACCACCAAGCATTGAACAGTGATGGAGAAGATTTGGGGAGTCCCTCCTGCATCTCCCCACCGCACCCCCCAAACAAACATTTCTGATGGTCCCACATCTCTGTTCCTCTCCATCACCTTTGGACCGTACTCTCTCTCTCGCATAGGACGTTAGCTTTTCCGCAGCCAGGGGGTCTACCTTCTCCAATAATTAATCTTCCAGGAGGACCCCGGGCCGTGGCTTCTTAAAGCTTGTTTACTTCGTTTCACAAAACACAAGTTTTTTTCGTAACAAATTTTAGGTTCAAAAGCATTTTCTTGTCTCATTGGTAACTAGCCATTTCCCCCCCTTTACAAAGATGGGCGTAGTCGCAGTGGTTCGTCGGAAACAGAGACCAGGCTTGAAAACTAGAGAGTGCTGTTTGCCAACCCAACAAATCTCACAGATATGTCTTTGGGGTGTGTTAAACTTTTCAAGACAAGGGATGTTTTTTAGGCTGTTAAAAGCTGGCTGGGTGTGCTCCTTTAGCTCAAAATATCCACCATGATGAATGCGTTTGGGTTGCTTTTAAAATGGGTTCATGTTCTGGGAGCTGTTGAATTTTGGGTCCGAAGTGTCTGTGCTGGATGGACAGTGACCTAACGTCGTAGACTACACTTCCCCAACCTGGTGCCCTCCATATTTTTTGGGCCACAGCCAAGCACAGTCTGTCATCAAAGTTGGTGGGACTTGAAGTTACCCAACAAGAAGTGCGTAACCGGGCAATTAGGTGGCAAGAATGTTAATTTTTAATATGTCGTAGCACTGGGAATTTGGTTTAAGTTAAGCAAGGTAGCTGGTCAACTAGTCATCTATGGTGAGCCAGAATCTCAGCCAGGCGTGGAACCTTTAAAACAGGACAAAACCTGACTCTTTTTTTAAAAAAGCGATGAATGGGTAACCTTTTATATGTAAACAGGTAAGACTTTGTGATCCAAAGTGGCTACCACTTTTTCCCCGCAAATGACTTTTTTTTGTGTAAGTTGGCATCGTTTATTTGCCAGCCTGAAGTAGAACAGAGTGGGGGTAAGATGGGATGGTTTAATTGTTGGAGAAATAATGTTCTATCTGGAGGGGGGGGGGCTCTAGAAACAGGTTGTCCTTTCAAGAGAGGCCTGTCTTTGGTCCAACTCTCCAGATTTTCATAAGAGAAAGGACCTATTTTTAGTAGATGTTCAGATATTAGGGCTGCCGTGTTTCAGCTGGTTAATCAGTTAATCCAGCCTGAGAAAGAGGAAGGAGGATGCCTCTTCTGAGATTGTGTGGGAAGAGGACCAAGAAAGGATGCCTCATCTGAAAGCATGCAAGAAGTGGGATACCTTCATCTGTGAACTGAAAGGTTGGAATACCTCTTCCGAGGTGACACTGAAAAGCAGATTCCTTCCTGCGTGAGCAAGAAGGACGGATGCTTCTTCCAAGAAGATACAAGAAGAGGGATCCCTTCCTGCGTGGGAAAGATTAAGGGCAGGTGCCTCTTAGTGGACAGTGCATGCTGTTGTGGTACATGTGGTACCTTAGAAAAACAAAACAAAACAGGTTTGGGGAGGGCATTAGGGTTAGATTTAATTGGCCGATTCATGTGTTCATGGTCTTTAATCACGTGATACCCCTGATAACGGATTATGGCCGGTATCCACAGAATTCTGAAACGAGCCAAAGGAGGCTTTTGACTTGGCTTATAACAAACAGGTTTTGAAAAAGGGTGTTTTGTCCTCTGACATCAGGCAGAGTATACTGACTTGCTTACAGAATGGAATTCGTCAGTTCCACAGAGCCCAACATGTCCCAGATCTGGGTCTAATTTGTTTGCATGAAGCTCTGTGGGCCGATATTTACTGGAGGGTTCCTTATATCTGATTTTGCCACCACTCTTTGTTTGTTAGGGGAGCACTTTTAGATCCCAGGGCACTGGAGAAAAGAAAGAAGGTTTTTGTAAAGAAGCTTTTGATGTGAACAGGTTATTTTTTAGAAGCTAAAGGAGCTGAGGATGAGGGAGTGCTTCTTGAAAAGCTTGTTTAGTTGCAAGCAAGTATTGTATATTTCTTGCCACAAGACCTTTGGGGTACAAGATTTCCCATGATAAAATGGGGAGAAGATCAGGCAAGATCCATTCCTGAAGAAGTTTTTCTATGTCTGTGTCCATATGGAAAAAGTATTTTGTGAAAATACACTCAAAACTCACCTAGTGACATTATGTCACATGAAGATATTTTAAACCTCTTTGATTCGGAATATAAATTTCATTGGCTGTGTAATTCCTGCAAAACAGATTTCTGCACGTCTGTGTTGTGGGTAATTTGAAGGATGTTTTTCAAAAAGATAAAAGAGTTATTTCAGGTGTTGCGTTCACTGTTTGAGCCTGGCATTGTGCATTTACTGGCATAACTGAACAGATTTGTTGGCAGACAGCTCACTCGTCCTCAAGGTTATCAGCAAATCCAGATTAGCTGATAGCTTGCTCAGAAATAAGTTCCGCTGATCAGTTTTTGTTCCTTTTTTAAAGAGTCCCACAGTTGGCCTTGTTCCTAACGTGTGGATTTCATAATGTGCATTCTCAGAGTTGAGCTTCCTGTAAATTTGTGCTTGATGAAGCTCTGGCACATTGCCCTGTTGGTTCACATTCAGAGGTAGTTGACCTCACACCTGGAAACATTTAAAATGGTCTTTCCCAACCTCGTACCCTCCAGATGTTCCTGGACTACAAAACCCATCATCCCTGACAGTTGGCCACGCTGGCTGCAGGTGATGGGAGTTTGAGTCCAACAATACCCAAAGAGTGCCAGGTTGTGGAAAGCTGGCTTAAAGCAATAGGAGAAATTGTTGTTGTCTTCTAAAACTTACTTCAGTGGATATTTCATTGTATATTGGAAATATCAGTAGTAGTCTGTCATGCATGAAGTTAAATATTTTTTCTCTCCTGTGTTTTGGTTTGTGCCGCTTAGATTACCCTTGACTAACGTCAGTCTCCTCCATCGTGCATCTATGCCGAATGTGCAAAAGCCACTGGAGAAATATTCTTACTAATTCTGTTGGTCGAGCTCTGCCAAAGTTCAAGATTTCCCTGGCAAATCTGTTGCCAGAAATGGGATTTCCTTGGTTCCCTATGTGGCCTTGCCTCTAAGGTTACCAGACTTTTTTCAATGAATCCTGGGACACTTTTCAACATCAGTCGGAATGATAGTGGACATGATAGGGGACTGATTTGTAAATCCGGGGACGTTTGGTAACCTTACTTGCCTCCATTCTCCACTGCTTTCCCAATTATTTAAGTCTCTGGTGGTTTTCACTACAGCAGTAGTTTTGGGTGTTGTAGGTTTGTTTGTTTGTTTATTTATTTATTTATTGGGGGTGACTTGGTATAAGGCGGCTTCCTCTGTTCCTGCGTCAGAGCTGTGCCATGGGTTTCGTAGTCTTTAAAGCTACGTCAAACCCAGCACCATGGATTTTGTAGTCTGTAACAGGGGTGGTCCAGCTCCCAAGAGACTGTGATCTACTCCCACTATAAATAAACTCCATATACCCATAAATCCAAAATAAATTCAATACCCATTGGATTGACCAGAGTTGTTGAGCTTTTTTGGGGGGGAGGGGGGGATCACTGGAGATCACAAGATCAGCCAGGATCGACCAGGGACAGACCACAATCTACCGGTAGATTGCAACTGACCTGTTGGACAGCCCTGGTCAATAAAGCTGTGTGAAAGCTTAAGTTATTTTTTCACATTTATATTTGGCCACAATTGTGCTGCAAGGTTGCGGGGTGGGGTGTAATTTTAAAGTTGTGTGATAAGCCAATGGAGCAAACATTCCCATATTTTAAATAGCTGCAAAAAGGTGGTGCTTGAACAATTCTACAAGAGGTGGCTTGTTTTGAAAGTTAAAATAGTTTGAAAAGTGGCTTGTCCATAGTGTAAAGTGAGCTGGGTTCGGGTGATGCTGGATATGTGGGTTTCTCAATATGGGACATGTTTTGTGCTTAACTAAAGTGTTTCTTGTGTTATCTCCTGTAAGAAGCAGTAGTTTGGTGTGTTAACTTTACAACCATGGGGAACATTGTGGTCTTTGTGCTAGGAGGAGCCTCATGTATGAACAAATATGCTGGGGTAGTGATGAATTCATCACAGCTTCACAGCTCTTAATTAAAGCAAATTTTGAAGGGGAAAACCGCCACTAGGTTTATGATTACTGAATCATATATATGAATACACTGAGAAACTCAGAAACCAGGCAGTAACTGGGCAATGGGGGGAAAGGAAGATGATGGAGAAGGGGAAAGCTATGATTTACATCCTGTATACCAGGGTTTCCCAAACTTTGGTCCCCAGCTGTTCTTGGACTACAACTCCCATCACCCCTAACTAGCCGGACCAGTGATCAGGGATGATGGGAGTTGTAGTCCAAAAAAACAGCTGGAGACCCAAGTTTGGGAAACCTTGCTGTACACATGAATTTGGGAGTTGCATTGAAATGTGGGACTTGCAACCAAGAGTGAAAACATGTGCAGGATCAGGCTGCAAACAGAAGATCTACTAAGGAACATTTCTGCATGCCTAAGCCCGGGGAAACTTGGGTGGGCAAGAGGGGATCCTCCATATGTCATTGGACTCCCAACTCCCATCAGTCCCGGCCCTAGGACTGATGGGAGTTGTAGTCCAGCAATGTCCGGAGGGATACAGATTCCCCACCCAGGGGAAGTTGAATATTTTCCGGAAAGGTTTTTAAGGAGATAAGTCAAAATAGGACAGAGATCTGTCATTCAGTGCCGCCACTGGGAATGAACGGATAAGAAGTTGTAAGACTGTTGTAAGAGCGGATCCGCAGATGAAGGAACTGTCAAGGGTAGCAATGGAAAGATTGTAGAGGAGCCAGTGGTATGCAAAGCTTAGGGGCTGAATATTCTACCTTGGGACATCAGGCAGGTGGTGGAAGAAGACTTCTGTTCAATGTTTCCTGAAATGAGCATCTCAAAGACTTGGGTTGGGCAGCTACTTTTGACATCTCAATTAAAAAGTGGGCATCTTTGGTGAGGATGACTCAGTCCTTGTAAGAAGATACTTTAATGAATGTGGCTTCCTGCAAACGAGGGTGGCGGGCGCCAACCCTGAAAGGGGGCGTGGCTTCTGGGACGGGTGGAGATTTCTTAGAAGTGGGATTGGCCGCCACTCGGGTGGCCTTGTAGCTTCTTACCAGACCTCGGCCGACTATAATAGATCTCAAGAGCTGGCCAGTGGCCATTAAGATGAGCTGCATGTGAGGAAACGAGCTCAGAGGAATAAGTTCAGCTGGCATTTTAACACGGACCGACCCGATTCGCGATTCCCGAACCAGAACACAAACTGAAACAAATTCTGCACACAAGGATGTGTGTGTTTGCGAAAGCAAAATCCCAGAGTTCATTGTTATATTTGAGAAAGTCGCTTCCAAAATAAGAAGCCTATTAGCTGCATTTTCCTCTATACGGTTTTTGCCTGCTGGTAGAATATCTACGGATCTTAATGCAGGCGTCTTAAAAAAATAAAGAATTGCACAAACACAAAACACAAAAATGAGCTTAAGGTTGGGATAATGTGAAATGAAAACAAAAGGGGGGCAGATTCAGCCCCCCGCCAGCCACAAAGACGCGAGTGGAGTCGCTCAAGTGGTTTCTTAAAGCTATATAGTAAACGTGTGCCCATGTGACCAGAAATTAGGCCACCCATGGGCATCTTTGAAGATCAGCTGCAACAGTTTTGAAAAGCACCTTTGGTTATGCTTGAATCGAGGTGGGTCACGGTGGATATGTAAAAACCAAAAGGAGGAACAACAGACTCTGGGTTGGGCCCATTTTAATTGGGCAGTTAATTTTGACAGGAAGTGGGGGTGCCGTTGGAAAGCTCCCCATTTCCTGTCGGCCTCTGGCGATCCCATAGAACCACTGTGTGTGTCTCCGCTCACTGGGAGACACTCGTCTATCAAAGGGAGGTGGGGAAATCTCAACTCTCATCAACTAGGAAAAGAGATCATTTTTGCCTAAAGCACTAAAAATAATCCGAAAGAAAAAGGTTGAGTATTATTAAAAAAAATTCATATTTTTTTTGGTAGGGGAAAAGGGAAGAGGGAAAAGTAAGGGGGATATTTTGGTTATGATTCCTAGAGAAGGAACTAGGGTGAAAAATGGGGAAGAGGGGAGAAAGCAAAGCTTTAGGAAATGTCTACCTAACAGTACTTTTTTTCTTTTCCTCTCATACACAAAACTTTGGGTCGACAGGGTTTCGTTTTTCCGCAAGCGCACAGAGAGAATCACACCTGTGCGAGGCAAATTTTGAGGTCACTCGGACATGCGCTCTCTCTCACATACAGTCTAACACTGGCCGACTGTGCTTTTCTTTGTTTTGAAAGAGCTGACAATCAAAATCAGGAAGAGAAGGAAAGGACAGATGGAAAGGACACCAGCCTAGGCACTGTGAAGCCATGTTCACATGGAAAAGCTTAGGGGGCTTTTGCTGGGATTATGTAGACCACGTACGTCCACCTCTACAGTCCGAGTGGCTAAGGTGTTTTGTCTAGGACCCACGAAACCAGGATTCCTGCTCAGCCATGGATCTTCACTGGGTGCGACCTTGGGCCAGCAATCTCTCTCAGCCTAACCCACCTCACAGGCTTGTTGTGAGGATAAAATGGGTAGGGGAGGAGAACCATGTTTGCCACCTTGAGCTCCTTGGAGAAGAGGTGGGGTGGTTGTCCTCTTTGGGCGAGAATATCACCCTGCTGGAGCAAGGACAGCAGTTGAAGCCAAGGCTAAAGTTGGAACCGGCAGAATTTGGAGAGTGCTTTGGGGCGGCCCCAGGTGGCGCTGTGGGTTAAACCACAGAGCCTAGGACTTGCCGATCAGAAGGTCGGCGGTTCGAATCCCCACGACAGGGTGAGCTCCCGTTGCTCGGTCCCTGCTCCTGCCAACCTAGCAGTTCGAAAGCACGTCAAAGTGCAAGTAGATAAATAGGTACCGCTCTGGCGGGAAGGTAAACGCCGTTTCCGTGCGCTGCTCTGGTTCGCCAGAAGCCGCTTAGTCATGCTGGCCATATGACCCAGAAGCTGTACGCCGGCTCCCTCGGCCAATAAAGCGAGATGCGTGTCGCAACCCCAGAGTTGGCCACGACTGGACCTAATGGTCAGGGGTCCCTTTACCTTTAAGGCAAGATGAAAGCTTCGGTGGTTTACGAGTGGAGGCTACCAAGGTCTGAGACACAATGTCGAGTGTGCTGGCTTTCAGAGACCCCGATACCAATTGGTCGATAGATGAGTGTTATCGATCAAGCCACCAACTCGTTGGCAATCAAGTTCTGTACATGCAGTTTCCAGGTTTCTACCCATAAATGTTTAACGCTTAGGCTGAGACTGCCCTACTCAGCGTAAACCCATTACAATTAATGGCTCTGAACCGGTTATGCCCGTTAACTTCAACCGGTATGCTCTGAGCAGGAGTAGCGTTTGTGTACTTATTAAGAGTAGCGATTCTTTTCTCTTTGGCAGCCAAAGGATTGCTGAGCTTAATCCACTCCAAACAATAAAAAGGAGAAGAGGGGAGATGTGCTGGACTTTTGTGGCTGTGAACTTCATGGCCGAGCTTCCGGTTCGAGTTAAAACCCTGTTCGTTGTTTTTTTTAAAGCCGCCTGAGGAGGATGGAGCTATCTTGATATGCCGGCTTTGGTGTCCGAGAAAAGAGAAAGAGGCCAGGAAAGGAAGGAAAAGAAGAAAAAGAGGAAGGCGCTGGTGTAACCATAGTGTCTGGTCCCCTGAGGTGGACACACTATGTGGGCCTCACGGTCGAGGCTCTTTAGCTCTAAGGAGGTTCTGGAGGTAATTCTGTTTTGGGAGTAATTTGGAGAGCTAAGTCACTGAGCCTCCAACCAAATCTTGGATGGCCTCCCTCAGGGGACTGAGGGAGTCCGCCCACAGCCAGAATCTGGGTGGGACATTTTGGTTCTGTCAATAAATACATTCCCCCTTACAACTGAAGAGCCCCACGGCAGTCGGGCCGGAGGTCCCAGCTGCTGCGGCTGTTTCCAGAGGGCTAACAGCGGCCCCCTACGCCTCGTAGGCCGCCGTCCTCCCTCTTCTGAGAAACGTCAAATGCTAAGGCTCTGTCCTCACACACGGTTAAAGCTCTACATCTTTGGAAAGCAGTTCAGCAAACTTTTGTGTATCATCTTAAAAAATATTTGGATAGAGACGTCATATATATAATATATATATATCAAAAAAAAGACACTCTGTAGGAAGCAGCAAGAGGAGCTATGGAAAAGGGGAAAGGAATGTGAGGCTTTGGGTGAAGCGTCCCCCCTTGCCCACCCCATTGCCCCCCTCATGACAGAGGACGGAGGTGGGTATTTGGGAGAGGGGGGGTCCGCTGCTGCTGCTCCCACTTTTGGTTTGGCGATATTTGGTATGCTGGTGCCGAGCGCCCAGGCACCGTGGGTGGGAGGTGTCAGAAAGGGAAGGTCCTCATCCCACCCCGAATGGACCACATGACTCATTAGGGAGTAATTTTGGAGCCTCAACCTCCCCAAAGCCCCGGTAATTCGTAGGGGGTTTGGCTTCGGCACAATTTGGGCAGGGGGACATCAGCGTCCACATCCATTCTTGAGGCAGCCAAGAATGAGAGTGGGAAGAAGTTGTCTCTTTCCCCCCCTGCTTCCTGGCTTTCCCTCAAGATGGCTGCCTCAAGTTCCGGAACCTTCCGGTTGCCGTAGAAAGCTGCTCCCTGTCGCCCCACCTCTCTGCCACTACCCCTTCTCCCTTTCGGCAAGAGGGGGGTGGGATTTAAGCAGCCAGAGGATGGCTGGCAGGTTGAGGTAGTTTTGGTATTTGTATCAAAAATAGATCATTCGGGAGAACTGGGGTGGGAGTAGGGCTCAGGTGGCGGCTGGACCGGACGCTATGGGGCTGGCCGTCCAGCGGAGGTGAGGTAGATTCTTTGGAGGTTTGCGGTTGGAATCCTGGATGGGTGGTGGGAAATTGGGGGCAGGGGAAGGCCCTGCCTCAACAGAGCTGCCACCGGGCTCGGTCAAGGGGCCTCCCCCTACTCCGTTCCCACCGGGCATTGGCTTAACCACTGGGCTGTGAAGGAGGGCAGCGCTCGACGGTCACTTCAAAGTGGGGTGTGTCATGGGCGGTGAGTCCATCGGAGGATGGGGGGTTCTGTGAGGAGAAAGGAAGGCAGGTTAACCGCATTGCCCTTTCGGACGCCGCCTTTTGGCCCGCAAGCTCTGTTCCTCACTCCCAGGGTGCCTTGCAAATGTTTATATATCAGACCCTGCTGGCCGTCTCCCCTGGCCCCCATCTGACCCTCCGAGTATAAGCTCCGGAGAGAAAATACAGTGGAATTAAGGCCTTATTCACACTATGCATTTTAAAAAAATTGTGATAACACTTTCAGGAAAATTCTGAAGAATCCTGGGAGGTGTGGTTTGTTCATGGTGCTGACAGCTGCTATTCCCCTCCCAGAGCTAGTATTATTATTATTATTATTATTATTATTATTATTACTCATAATAATCTGGGTTTCCTCAGCCACTCTGGGCGGCTCCCAACAGAATATTAAAAACACAATAAAACATCAAACATTAAAAACTTCCCTAAACAGGGTTGCCTCCAGATGTCTTCTAAAAATAGTTGTTTATTTCCTTGACATCTGATGGGAGGGTGTTCCGCAGGGCGGGCGCCACCACCGAGAAGGCCCTCTGCCTTCAGCTCCTGGAGTTTCCCAGGAAGAGGGATCGATTGCTAAAACACTCTGGGAATTATGGTTCCAGGAGGGGAATAGCAACTCTCAGCACCATTAACAGCTCCCGGGTTTCACTGGAGGAGACCTTGACTGAAGCGATATCACAGTGATTTACATCTTCACCCATGTAATCAGCAGGGCTGCTGCCATGGCCCTTCCCCCTGGGGCACCTTGGTTCTGCCTGGGACAGCTGCTGAGCTAAAAGCAGGCATATACACACACACATCCCTCCTCACCTGGGTAACCAGTTCCACCATCTCTGAGGGTTTTGCCCCTCCCTCCAGCTTCCGCTGGTTCCGGGGAGGCTCCCGCGTGGTGGTCTGCACCGGTTCTGTTCCCTGTGGGATGGTCCAGCTTTCTTGGGTCCCTTTCTTACAGAACAGGCTGTAGAGGGAAGACGTAGAGAGAAGGGGTTCTTTCCTGAAACATTTCTTAAATGGTACATAGGAAATCTGCCCAGGATGATGATGATGATATTTTGTTCTTAGTTTATTTTAAAATTAAGCCTGTATATTTTATCTTTCTATATAATATTATTGCAAGCATCACACTGCATTTTGCAGGATCCGTGAGCAGGGGGTAACAGCCCCTAGTACTGTCATATCTCATGCTACGTTTGCTTGATGTTACGTTTTTTCAGGTTGTGACCCGGAAGTACCAGAAAGGGTTACTTCCGGGTTTCGCTGCTCGTGTATGCGCAGTAGTGCTAAATCACGTTTCACGCATGCACACAAGCACCATATCGCGCCGCACACCTGCACAGATACGGCGCTTCAGGTTGCGGGCTTTTCACGTTGTGAACGGGCCTCCGGAACGTATCCCGTTCTCAACCAGAGGTACCACTGTATAGTTAAACCTCGGCTGTTGAACAGAATCCGTTCCGGAAGCCCATTCGGCTTCCGAAAAGTTTGACAACTGAGACACAGCTTCCGAGTGGTTGCAAGAGCTTCCTGCACTCAGCGGAAGCCGTGTCAGACATTCGGCTTCCAAAAAGCGTTTGAAAACGCTTTACTTTCAGGTTTTTGTCTTTCAGGAGCTGAAACATTCCAAAACGAAGCTGTTCAGGAACCGAGGTTTGACTGTAATACATTTTAAACTAGGATATCATGGTATAATAACATAACATCATCTCTTAAAGTTAAAAAAATATATATTACAAGAAACATATGTAACATCAGGGTCACAAAAGTTAGAAGCAATCATATGAGTCACATATACATGGTAGTTATAGTTAAGGAGACTGGGAGGGGACACTTGGAATAAACATTTCAGGAAACTATTACTTTTGTGTTTATATCCTGTCTTTCCTCCAAGGACATGGTTCTCTCCCCCCTCTCCATATTATCCTTAAAACAACCTTGTTGAAGTTGGTTAGGAGGAGAGGCAGTGGGACCAGCCTAAGCTCATCTAGCAAGCTTCATGGCTGATTTGTGCACCGTGGTCTCTCACGTCCTATCCCAACACCCTAATCATGATACCACATTGACTCTATCCATCATGGCTGCAATCTATTGATGTACATAGTTAGGGCCTAGAGGGAGGCGGTGGCAGGAATTTCAGGAAGATCCACTGGGACATAAAAATAGAAGTGTTAGGACATACAATGTACCTCTAGGAAGGAACTACGGTTGTACCCTGGTTTTCGAACAGCTTAGCTCTCAAATGTTTTGGCTCTCAAACGCCGCAAACCCAGAAGTGACTGTTCCGGTTTGAGAACTAATTTTGGAACCCAAATGCCCGATGCAGCTTCTGATTGGCTGCAGGAGCTTCCTGCAGCCAATCAGAAGCCGCGCTTGGGTTTCCGAACATTTTGGAAGTCGAACGGACTTCCAGAATGGATTCTGTCTGACTTCCAAGGTATGACTGTACTGTGAGTTTTGCAGAGGGCCCTGGGTGAAAAAACATGGGCAACTGTGGGTTACGATCGAAAGTTAAGCAGGTTACATGGCACCTACGGGGACTTTTCCTGTGGTGTACCCCTTGGAAGATTGTGCATGTGGGAATGGAGCCCTTTGGGTGGATAAGGGCTCCCCCCCCAAAAAAAACCCCCTGCTATATTTGGGTGTCTAGGGAAATTAGGGAATTCTGGGAGGTCCAAGTGATTCATACAGATCAGCCTCCACATCCTCACCTCTTGCGGTAGCCAAACATAAGGAAGAGGACACAGAATATAATGCACGCCATGCCAATGTGGACGCCAACCACGATGCCAGCGAGGGAGCTCTCCCCGTCCTTCCCACACTGGCACACTGAGTTGGCATCTGTGGGACAAAGCACAGTCGTTAGGGGATGGAGGTCACAGAGATGGAGAGGCGAGAGGGTTTCTGTTTCTCTTCATTTCTTGTTTTTCCAAAGATTGAGTTCTGTTCACATGCATTTATCACATCTGTATGTTTATGTATATACACTAGAGGCCAAAATTGTGGGAACCTTTAGCTCATGTTGCAGTTCTAGGGTTTGGTGGTTCAGAACACCAGTCTTTTTCAGAATGACACCATAAAACAATACCATACATACCATGTATGGATAGAAAGATAATGTAATGCAGAAGATAAAACACAATAAACTGGGTTGAATTGTTCTACCTAAAGTTACAGGTAAATAACCAGAAAAGGAAGATTTGCTTAAAACTGACAAAAGACTGATGTTATGAGACATCAGACCTAGGAAATCCCCAAAGTTTCCACAATTTTGGCCACTCTATTGTGTATAAGTCTGTGTTTAGAAGAATCCTCATGAAAATTCATTAATGAAAATTCATTTTAGTGCAAATTTCTTCCAATAGACACACCTTTGTAATTTTGCCTAATTATCGACATTTTTGCAAAGCAGTTTTTCCTTACGGAATGCACTTTTTCTGTTATTTTCACTAGTATATGCGTTTTTGTAGAGAAGTGTGAATTTTGAAGGTTGGCCCCATTCCAGTTTGCGAATTGTTTCGGTAAATGTAAATTAGGTACATTTGCCTTTAAATGCGAACAGAATTGAATTTATCCCCCATCGCCATAAGTGTATGTGAGTGTGTGTGTTTCTGGTCCTTACCCAGCCTCTCAGAGTTCTCCTTGAGGGAGACAAACCGCACACTGCTGTTCCCATCGCCATTCCCATTGAAGGCCTGGAGTTTGATCTCGTACATGGCAGATGGTTCTGTGGGAAAGAGTTCGGAAAGGCAAGTGGAGTGGAGGTCAGGTTTATGGAAGCCGACACTAGGGGGCAGCATTGATGGAGAATCTGAGGGCTAGCTAGCAGGGGAAGCTGATGGGTAGGGGGCAATTTCTCCGCCATGTGGCAAGGAATCTGTCTCAGACCAGAACAGACTAATAGTCCACATTGTTCTGCATTGTCTACTCTGACCGACAGCAGCTCTGCAGGGCGTCTTCCCACAAGCACTGGATCCTGGAGACACCAGGGAGCTGAAGCTACGGTCCCCCAGGAGGAGACTCACCCAAGTTGCTGAACGTGAAAGAGTTGGCCATGCCGGATAAGAGCTCTGGGCCCTCGTAGTGGGCGCTGGGCAGCTTTCGGAGGTAGAGCTTGAAGCCTTCAATCCGGCCCGGCTTGGCAGGCAGCTCCCAAAAGACGTAGACGGCACTGTTGTTGAGGATCTTGGTGAAAAAGCCCAGTGCTGCGGGGACTGAGTAGATGGGGGGGAAAGGTGAGTGACTGTCCTTCCCACCCAGATGGAGAGAAGTAGGGACACAACATCTCCCGCACCTGGGGGTCTCTCTCAGTCCCATGCTATTGTCAGGAAGCTGTCAGCGGCTCCCGGCTGGTTACCCAGGAATTATAAAGACAAGGGAAAGTTTCTTACAGTCCTTTTTTATTTCAGTCTCTACAGAGAGAGCTTTGGAACCCAGCCTCTTGGATAATGGCGTTGTCCCAAGTGAATCGCCACCCTGTCTCTCCCCCGTCCTCATTCATCATCATAACCTCCTCTACGGGTGCCGCTACATGCCCTCTGTCTTTGAGCTATTTGCTCTCATTATTATTATTATTATTAAGGATTTCTTGGTTTACAAAAGTATGTGCAATGTCTTTTTTTTCAAGTTATATTTTTCACATAGTTCTGTGTTGACTACTCTGACCTGCAGCAGCCCTGCAGGGCGTCTTCCCACATCCACTGGATCCTGGAGACACCAGGGAGCTGAAGCTACGGTCCCCCTCAGTCCGTTTCATTTATTGAGACATTAGGGTTACATTAGGAAGAAAAAGGGAGGAAGAGGTGGAGGGGGTCGTGGTGGGTTGGGGAGGGGTCGGGTGACGCTGCTTCTATTTTACTTAATGTATGTGTGGGGTTTTATGTCAGCATAGCTTGTGCAGGTTCTGTTTGCTATTCACTTGCGTTCCTTTGGTGGTGAGAGAGGTTGGGGTTGGCCTAGGGCAGTGTTTCTCAACCTGGGGGTCCCCAGATGTTGTTGGACTACAACTCCCATCATTCCTAGCCAGCATGACCAGTGGTCGGGGATGATGGGAGTTGTAGTCCAACAACATCTGGGGACCCCCAGGTTGAGAACCGCGGGCCTAGGGTGTGGTTGCTTGTTTGTGATTGGCTGTGGTGAACTTTGTTTTCATGTGTGAGTGGAGTGGGTGGGCGGGTATTTTTGAATCAGCCATATTGATTCGTATGCTCTCCTACCTTTAAGGATTCTGGGAGATGGAGGGTCTGGGGTGCTTTCTAATAACAATATGGTGTTCTGGCTCTCTGGCTCTGGCTCTCCCAGCTTCTCCCCTCATCTGCCTCTGAGCTGCGACCTCCCTCAAACCCCTGTTGTAAATCTGTACTGTCTTTCCTCTTCCTCTTCCCTGGAAGGGTCAGGATGGGGAGGCGGTCTCTGCCATTTCTCCTCTGGAACCAGTGTGGTGTAATGGTTAAGAGTGGTGGACTCATAATCTGGTGAACTGGGTTCGATTCCCTGCTCCTCCACATGCAGCTGCTGGGTGACCTTGGGCCAGTCACACTTCTATGAAGTCTCTCAGCCCCACTCACCTCACAGAGTGTTTGTTGTGGGGGAGGAAGGGGAAGGAGAATGTTAGCCGCTTTGAGACTCCTTAGGGTAGTGATAAAGCGGGATACCAAATCCAAACTCTTCTTCTCTGCCCAGTGCCTGACACTATTACCTTTTGTGGCTGGTGCCCAGTGCAGTAGGGATCCAGGGTTGCGGTGTGTGTGTGTGTGTGTGTGTGTGTGAAAGACCTGTTACTATTTCTGCAACATCGTCCCTGTCTTCGGTGTCCTATATCTGCCCAATCAGCATGAAAAGGGAGCATTTCAGCCACTGAGAAGATGTCCCGGCCCTTTGTGCCAATTGGAGCCAATCAGTGAAGGAAGGTGAGTTGGCCACTGAGGATGGGCTCCTAGGGTCACTCTGGAGAAGGTGCAAGGGGAAAACAGTGAGGAGTCGTTGTCCCATATGCTCCCAAGCTAAGCGTTTAGCAGCATTAAAGACACAAAGTGCTTTGGTTCCAAGAGAACAGCGTGCACATTCAGTTACGTACAATGGAACGTCAAAGGAAACACAACTTGAGTCGTTCCAGATAGCTCAGTTGGTTAGAACAGGGGTTGTCAACCTGGTCCCTACTGCCCACTAGTGGGCATTTCAGGACTCTAGGTGGGCAGTAGAGGGTTCTACGGCACAAGCTGAATCTTCCTTCCATCGAGCACTGGTGGGCGGTAAGGAAATTTTACCATCAAGAAAGATGCATCAGTGGGCGGTAGGTATAAAATGGTTGACTACCCCTGGGTTAGAACATGGCGCGGATAACGCCAAGGCTGCAGGTTTGATCCCCTTATGGGACAGCCACATATTCCTGCATTGCAGGGGGTTGGAATAGATGATTCTCGGGGTCCCTTCCAACTCTACAATTCAATGTACAAAAAAAAATATACTGGATCACACCATGTTGTTTGCATAGAGAAGAGCTCATCTAGCTGAAAGGCCGCACACAGAGATTCGCAACGATCATTGCAATGCATCCCTAATCATGACCTCTGTGTAGCTATAAGGTTATTGCACTTCTGAATTTGCCAAACCAAGAATGGATAATAATAATAATAATAATAATAATAATAATAATAATAATAATAATAATTTATTTATATCCCGCCCTCCCCAGCCAAAGCCGGGCTCAGAGCAGCTAACAGTAAAATGATACAACATTCTAAAATCATTACATTTCATTATAAAATCAGTTCAAATCAGAGTAATGGCAACCATTGGGCTAGAGTTCTATGAGGATGACAGGAGGAGGGGGTCAGACTGTGCCTTGGCCAAAGGCCTGGTGGAACAGCTCTGTCTTGCAGGCCCTGCAGAAAGATGTCAAGTCCCGTAGGGCCCTAGTCTCTTGTGGCAAAGCGTTCCACCAGATCAGGGCCACAGCCGAAAAAGCCCTGGCTCTGGTTTGAGGCCAGCCTAACCTCCCTGTGGCCTGGGATATCCAAGATGTTTTTATCTGAAGACCGTAAGGTCCTCCATGGGACATACCAGGAGACGCGGTCCCATAGGTACGAGGGTCCTAAGCCGTATAGGGCTTTAAAGGATGGGGCAGGAGGCGGAGGTACCAAGGGCAGGTACAGCCGCAGCCAACGACAGGCACGGCCAATTGAGGAGGAGGAGGAGGAAGACCGCTCCAATGGGTGTACTCACTGCTGCCCAGCGTGGTGGCCAGGATGGGCTGGGAATCCTGGCTGGCGCCCAGGGGTGAGTAAGCCTTCAGGTAGATAGAGTACGTTGTCGAGGGCTCCAGGTTGGTGAAGACGTGCTGGAAGGTGGTCTTGCTGACGGCCTCCTGGAGCTCCCGGCTGTCGGACTCTGTGGGAGGTGCGAGGAGGAAGAGAGGTCAATCGGCAATTCTACGTTTTTTGGATGGGACCTCCCGGCTTGCCCATCATCCTGTTCTCCCAAAGCATCCAATCAGGTGCCTTCAGGAAGCCCACAGGACGGGCGCGACATCAACAACCTTCCTTGAGGGCTTATCCTCAGCAACGGAAGTTCCATTCTTAACCATTGGGGCTATTCATGTAAGAGTATTCCTGCAAAGACCCCCCTCACACAACTTACTGACACCATAGCTACCCAACCGCCCGCTCTGATCTGGCACCGTTACAATCTGCCTTCCGCATTTGGAAGAAAACGAAATCTTTTGCTGCGGCACCATCCCTGGTGTACGTAGTCCACCAAACCTACGCCTGGAAAGTGAACCTTGGTGGGAATTTGGGGTGAGGCTCACCACTCACCTCCCGCCTTGCGGATGTGCAGCACGTAACCGATTATGGCCTCTGTCACTTCCATGGGGGGCTCCAGCCAAGACACCTGGATGGAGGTGGTGGAGAGGGCAGTGGCCTGGACGCCTTCTGGGGAGCTGGGGAGCTCCTTGGACAGGGCCACGGCTAGCCGGGCGCTGGCCTGGTTGGTCCCTGCGCTGTTTTCCGCAATGCACTGGTAGATGGCTTCGTCCGCTGAGGTAATCCGCTGGATCATCAAGGTGCTATGGAAAGGTTTTTTTTGAGGGGAAAGAGGCATCAGCAAGACAAAGACAGAAGGTGTCGTGGCAGAAGAGGTGGAAAGTCTTCTCTTTGGTTTAGAAAAAGGCACAAGTGTGCTAATTTTCATTTTGAAAACACCTGGTTTGGCAGGTGCAGGCTTTAACCACTGTTAAGGAATTCGTCTGCCTTGACTGTTGTGAACATGGCACTGAATTTTGAATTACTATTTTTTGTAGCCTGACAGTCAGTGACAGAGAAAAGGGAGGTAAATGTCCCCAAATGAATAAATGAGTAATTTGGAATATGCAGAATACAAAAAAATAAATTTAAGGAACCACAGAAAGAGGGGGAAGGAAGTCAGGTTTCGAAATGTTAAAATGATTGGAAAATTATTGAAATGGATAAAATTGAAAATTGATAAATAATAATGGAATGCTGCGACTGTCCTATGCTTCCAGGATTTTTTAAAAAATGTTTTATTGTTTTACTAAGTATACAACATGACTAACAGAGTATTCCTACAATTCAACAGGGGGGAAAGTAGAGCATGGTCAGGTATAAGGTAAGGAGATGAAAGACAGAAAGAAAAAATATTAAAAGAAGCCTGTACAACAGAGGCAACATGGCAGTATTCCAAGATAAGACACACGGAGTGGATCAGAAACTCATATAATCAAAAACAGCAGCAGATGAAATCATATTTGGATGGAATTGCCATCTGCGTTGTTTAACAAACTGATGGAGAAAAGGGAGCTAAAGAGTTCTTAATGGCTGAGAAATGTTCTCTGTCTCTGTCTGTCTCTCTCTGCATCTCTCTCTTCCTCCAGCCTTTGGAAAGTTACACTCATCCTGTGTTTCCTGAATACACACAGAACACACACACATATCCCCATCCCTCTACATAGGGCTCCTTCAGCAGGAAGGAGGATGGGGACAAAACCAGAATTAGTTGACTCTCCTCTGGTTGGCTCTGGCGCCCCCTACTGCTGGGCTCCCTGCCTTCTGTCCCACCAGACCCCAAAGGGCACCGGCTGCCACCTCTGCCCAGCCCTGGCTTAATCCTTTCTAAGTGTGTTCCCTGCGGACGTTCCCGGTCTCACCTGTTGTTGTGTGTCAGCTTGATGTTCTCGCCGGGCGCCAGGACCTTGCCGTTCTTCAGCCAGATCAGGTGGGGTTCCGGCACACCTTGGGCCACGCAGGTGAAAATGGCGCTGCTGCCGGGGGGCTTGGAGACGGATTGGGGCCATTGCACAAACTCCGGCGGGGCTGAGGTGGAGAGGAGGGCAGGAAGGGAAGTTTAGTCCTGGTACCAAGCCAACATCTTAGGAATATTACCGGCAATGGCTGCTTTGAAAAAAGCAACCCTGGGTACATTCTTTCACCTTTGGTGGACATGCCCAGGGATTAAGGCTTTCTGGGAAATTATATATAATGAAATGAAAAAGGTATTTAAATATACCTTCTTGAAGAAACCAGAGGCTTTTCTCCTAGGTATGGCTGGCCAAGTGGTGCCAAAGAAGGATAGAACTTTTTTTATGTATGCTACAACAGCAGCAAGAATACTCATTGCAAAGTATTGGAAGACACAAGAACTACCCACCGTGGAAGAATGGCAGATGAAGGTGATAGATTATATGGGACTGGCAGAAATGACCGGCAGAATCCGTGACCAGGGAAGAGAGACGGCGGAAGAAGATTGGAAGAAATTTAAAGACTATCTCAGGAAACATTGCAAAATTAATGAATGTTAGAACGATGTGGATCTTAGAAATTAATGGTTTTCAGCTGTAAAGATTAAGTAAAAAGAAAAGAAAGGTCAAAAACTAAACAAAAATTAAGGGAGAGGATTTGCTGAACTAATGAATTAGAAATTGGAATACAGAAAGGGGAGGTATGAGGAGGTCGGGGAAGTAAGTTATAAGAAAATAAGGGAATGAAATTATACTTGTTTTGTTTGTGTTTTTGTCTGTAATACTGTTTTTCTTTTTGTATAATTTTTGAAAATTTAATAAACATTTTATAAAAAAAGAAAAGAAAAGCAACCCTAAACACATAAGAACATGAGAAGAGTATCATCCTTCTCTAAACTAAATGAAGACCTCTCCGCCCTGCTTGATCTGCCTTATCTAATTTATTGGATCTGTCTATCCACCCATAAATGTTCAGAGGAGGGTGGCCCGGGTCGAAGCGCCCAAGCTCAGAGATTTTGCTTTGTATGCAGAAAGGTCCTCTGCAGGGCTGGATTTAGCTTTGATGAGGCCCTTGGCTACTGAAGGTAATGGGGCCCTTTATATGTCCAGCTGTCCTTCGTCAACAACAAATTGTCTGTTTTTTGTGCTGAATATATGCTACATGGTAATGTATGGACCTAATAGGTATCTAATACCTAATATCTAATAGAAGTAGAGACGTCACCTTGCCAACAAAGGTCCGTATAGTTAAAGCCATGGTTTTCCCAGTAGTGATGTAGGGAAGTGAGAGCTGGACCATAAAGAAGGCTGATCGCCGAAGAATTGATGCTTTTGAATTATGGTGCTGGAGAAGACTCTTGAGAGTCCCATGGACTGCAAGAAGATCAAACGCATCCATTCTGAAGGAAATCAGCCCTGAGTGCTCACTGGAAGGACAGATCCTGAAGCTGAGGCTCCAGTACTTTGGCCACCTCATGAGAAGAGAAGACTCCCTGGAGAAGACACTGGTGCTGGGAAAGATGGAGGGCACAAGGAGAAGGGGGCGACAGAGGATGAGATGGTTGGATAGTGTTTTCGAGGTTACCAGCATGAGTTTGACCAAACTGCGGGAGGTAGTGGAGGACAGAGGTGCCTGGCGTGCTCTGGTCCATGGGGTCACCAAGAGTCGGACACGACTAAACGACTAAACAACAACAACAATAGGTATCTAAAGTCGTTTGTGCATGTTGCCCTGCAACCAGTCCATGCAGAATGTAGGCACCCTATATATAGAAAGGAGCAAACCTGTGATATTTTAGGGAGCAGGCTAGCAGGCGAGGCCCATGACTTACATTGGGGGTCAGCAAACTTTTTCAGCAGGGGGCCAGTCCACTGTCCCTCAGTGCTTGGGGGGGGCTGGACTATATTGGGGGGAATGAATGAATTCCTATGCCCCACAAATAACCCAGAGATTTTAATTAAAAGGACACATTCTACTCATGTAAAAACACGCTGATTCCCGGACCGTCCGCGGACCGGATTTAGAAGGCGATTGAGCCGGATCCGGCCCCCTGGCCTTAGTTTGCCTACGCATGACTTACATCATGGGAACCTACACAACACAAAACACTGCTGCTGTATGTAGGTTTTATTTTATTTGTTTTTTATGTTATATTTTGGAAATGTACATCCAGGTGTTTTTTTCCCTTTAAATTTTTTTGGGGGGGCCCAAGAGAGTGGGGCCCTAAGCTATAGCTTGTTTAGCTTATACGTAAATCTGGCACTGGTCCCTGGGGTTAATTTGGGTAGGACCCCCTTGGAAGGACCCTTTGCCTGAAACCAGTCACCACTGAGCTAGTTGTGACTTGGTATAAGCTCCTACTCTGGAGGGGCTATAGCTCAGCAGCCAAACATCTGCTTTGCATGAGCTCCTTAGAGAAAAATTTGTGGGACATAAATGCAAAAAAAAAAACAAAAAAACACAGAGGGGGGGGTTGGAGTCATGTGCATGCATAAACACGCATGGAATTGTGTGTGCACACCCCGTGTCTCTCCTCTCGGCGCATCCACACCCACATGGCGCTCTGTGCACCAACGCCACAGTTTCTCGTCACCCTTTCTGAATCTGCCTTTGCCCTGCTCCCTTCTCTTCCGGCTCCGAGGACTCAGATGTGCCAAAAATAATGTCCATTGCCCATTTCGCAGCCTCTTTCTCCCTCAGGATCTGGTTGCCGGGGTCACCTCCCTCCTCCCCCCCCCCGCCCCAGGGGGTGGGGGAGGGGTGGGGCAGAGTTCCCACTAGACACAATTACAAATCCACTCAACCCTGCCAGACGCACGAACTCTCTCTGTCTCTTTGCAAATCCTGCATTATGCGGCATGCACACAAATTGCACAGAGACGAGGCCCTGGAAATTTCGTACGGTTCACGTTTTTTTTTAAAAAAAAGTTTTCAAAGAAGAGGGAGTCACACACACACACACACACACATATACATATACACATACACATGAGCAAAACAGCTCTCTGCAATGGGCAATAAAAAAAAAAAGAAACCCCTCACTTATTAGATTTCCCACATCGTTCTCAGTTTCGGACCCTCCTCCCCCCTTCCCTGGATCCACCAAAATGCTTTCCTGGTTCTCCTTTGCTAAGAAACAAAAAGAAATCATTGTGTTAAGCAAATGCAACTCGTCCTAAATCATCTTTTTTTTTTTTTTTTTGGTGTGCTTCAGGTTACAGACGCTTCAGGTTACAGACTCCACTAACCCAGAAATAGTACCTCTGGTGAAGAACTTTGCTTCAGGATGAGAACAGAAATCGCGCGGCGGCAGCGGAACACCCCATTAGCTAAAGTGGTGCTTCAGGTTAAGAACAGTTTCAGGTTAAGAACAGACCTCCAGAACGAATTAGGTTCTTAACCCGAGGTACCACTGTATACAGGATTGTCTTCAGATGGTTCAGGGGATCGGATAACTCCATACCCTCCATCATTTTAGGACATTCTAGGATCGAATCAGAAACCGGGACGGCTTCTCTAAATCAGGGATGTCCCTGGAAAATAGGGGCACTTGGAGGCTCCGTGTATGATGATGCTTTAAGTGCAGTTTGCTAAGGGTGATGAGTCTTGTTAAGAGACCCCCTCTTCCCCTCCAATACCCAGAGTTCCCTGGGGTGCTAAACCACACTGGGAATTGTAGCTCAATCAGCCCCGAGTGCTCACCGGAAGGACAGATCCTGAAGCTGAGGCTCCAATACTTTGGCCACCTCATGAGAAGAGAAGACTCCCTGGAAAAGACCCTGATGTTGGGAAAGATGGAGGGCACAAGGAGAAGGGGACGACAGAGGATGAGATGGTGGGACAGTGTTCTCGAAGCTACAAATATGAGTTTGACCAAACTGCAGGAGTCAGTGGAAGACAGGAGTGCCTGGCGTGCTCTGGTCCAGGGGGTCACGAAGAGTCGGACATGACTAAACGACTAAACAACAACAGCAAACTCCAGATCCCAATATTCTCAGAGGGAAAGCCACAAATTTTAAGGCAATATGATACGGCTCTAAGGCATAGGATGTGGCCTCCTTTAAGTTTTGAACTGGACTTTTTGGAGCCATTTTCGAAAGACATCTAAATCTCTCTTTGAGGGGCAGGCCAGCTGCGGAAGGAATCGGGCTCAGGCGCCGCAGCCCCATGGATCGGTCCTGGTCCCCCAGCTGCGCCACAGCCGAGAGGAGCCCCTCTCAACACCCCCACCCCCACCCCTGGCCGCAGCGTGGGAGCGGCCTCGGAGGCAGATGTCACATTGAAAGGCCTGACACCCTCCAGAAAAGAAGCTTTAAGCTTGCGAGACGGGCCGCATCTCATTACCTCGCCAAAGGGCTGGGAAATGCACAGCGGCCCCCTCCCCGCCTCGCCCCCCAAACAAAGGAGAGGAGAGGCGGCCCCTCACTTGAAAATGGCTTTGTCGTCCAGACGGGGCCAGCATGGCAATGGAGGGGGGCGAGAGAGCGAACTCTGCCCTTTCCCTGCGCCCCATAGAATGCGCCAGAGGAATCTGCGCTCCCTATCACACGCCCCAAAACATATGCTCGCTCGGACCCTTGCTCTGGGCAGAGATGGGAGATAACAGGAGGTCAGCAAGCAGGGAATTTAAAAGGAATCTGAAGGGACATGGAGACATCCCCCCCCAGTCTTTCTGGATAGCCCCCTCGCCATCGCTCAGGAATACAGCACCTGCCTTCCAGGCAGAGGACCCACGTTCTCCAAGTAAGGCCCACACCTGAAAACCTGGAGAGCCACTGGCCTTTGTTCAAAAGCTTGAGGTCTAGAACCTTGCATTCTTTTTTAAGGGAAGGGTTGCAGCTGGGTGGGAGAGAACCTGCTTTGCCTGCAGAAGGTTCAGTCCCCAGCTTCTCCAGGAAGGCCTGAGAGTCGTCCCTTCCCTGAAACCCTGGGCTGCCGGCCAGTGAGGACAACGGTGAGCTAGCTGGGTCAAGATCCTGACTCAGGCCAAAGTGGCTTCCTCTGTTCCCAATGCCACAGAACACCTGCTATGCATGCAGAAGTTTCAGTCTCTGGCATCCGTGGTTAGAAGCAGGCAGGCAATGGCGAAGAACCTTTATAACCTGAGCGGCTAGATGGATGCTGCCAGTCTGAGCAAGCAATACTAGCCTAGGTGAATAAATAGGTCAATACCACAATACATAAATCATGTTCCGAATACCACAACACACATGTAACTGGCTGTAAAGTAACATATATAATATATATAATAAAACTGTAATTGTCATATCCAAAAATTGCAAAGCACAGTTCCTGGTGGCAATAACATATCATATTACTATTAATATGTTTTGTGTGTGTTGTGGTATTCTGAACATGATTTACGTAATGAGGCGGTTGTAGTGTGTGTTGACCTAGCCATTTGCCATGGCTGTTTCTATTGGTATAATTTAGGTAATTAATGATGTTACATATTAATAGTTGATTATTACAATATAAAAAGTGGAAACAGCAATGACTATGTGTTGTGGTATTCTTTAGGTGAATAAATAGCCTGACATACTCTAAGTCCACCTTCCTAATGTTCCTTTCATCTCCGCAATATATCGTTTTTAATTCTATTCATTGCATTTCTATGGCACCTTTTCCTCCGAAGAGCTCAAGGGCAGCTACATGGCATAGCAGGGATTCGAACCCTGATCTCACCCAGGTCCTAATCCGACTCTCTAACCACTGCGCCACACTGGGAGAGGGACCCACTGTCCCAACAGCCTGACTCCCCCCCACCCCCTTTTTAATCTAGGCAGCGGGCCTCTAAGCCATCCCATTCTGCACCTGAACACTTCGGATAGCTTAGGGGGCCGACCCCCACGCCGAACACCTCTTTGCCTCTTAACAATGGACTGATCCTCCTATTTTCCACTTTCGCCTCCAAGTCCACATTCATGTTTCATCCGAGAGAGAAGAAATCGAAAGGGATCTGGCAGCAGTGTGTGTGTGTGTGTGTGTGTGTGTGTGTGGACGAGGGGGTCATGACCTCTGCCCTTTCACCCCGCAAAGTCAAGTGTGCCATTCCCAGCTGGGACGTGCCGGCCAAACCTCGGAGACTCCATCTTCGCCCACCTTCTCGTCGCACCCTTGACCTCTCCTGCGGACCCTCAAAGAGCCACAGCTCATGCGCTGGAGGGGCGTAGAGGAAGGCTTAAGGGGCGTTCCTGTATCCCTTGACTCCCCAACACAGACCGCTGCTTTCTACACACACACACACACACACACACACACACACACACACCTTTGCATGAAAACGGAGCCCTGCCAATTCCGAATTCACCGCCACCGCAAGGGGTCCATTTGGCTGACGCCGTTCTCCTGACAGGGTTGTGGGGTGGCTGTTTTGGTTTTTTTTTTGCTCCCATCAATCACCCCCAGGCCCTTTTGTCCTCAGCGCATGGGTCATGGAATCGACCCCACATCTCTTTATCTGAGCCACGGCCCAGAATCGATGGCCGCTCTGGGGGCAGGTTCGATCCTGCCTCTCATCAACCCTTGAGATGAGAAAGCGGTGGGGCGGGAGGGGGGAGAGAGAGGCAAGGAGAGGGGGCAGCGAGATGTTCTGAAATGAAACTGATATCGGGGACAAAACACCTTGAAGAGAGAGAGAGCCAAGACAAGGGGACATTGCAATTTCTGTCGAGCAGAAAATTGAGGAGCAGAGCTGTTCATGGTGAGGAGTCCAGGACTTTGTGTCCGGGAGGCAAAGGTCAAGGGGGTTTGTAGGAGGCCTTACGGACTCAGAGATGTTTTACCAGCGTAATCAGGGATTTTTCATAGGCAAAAACATGGTGGCGGGTCAGGTCACCGGCCGACAGATTCAGAACCCCAGTAAAACATTTATGAGGCTCCAACGAAACCGCTTCACCCCTTTTGATGGCTTGTGTTGACATTGATGGTGGTGATTACTGGGGGGAAGATTAATCAGTGTTAGGGTTTTGGGGGGGTGAAGGCTTGCCTGTTGCAAAATCCCAAGGGGAGGGTGAAACCTCTTGCCCCTGACGCTCACATAGGCGAAGAGCCTTGAGGGGTTAAACCGAAACAATCCCGCTATCCCCAGTATCCTGATTCCGTCAGGGTGCAGCCCGATAGTCCACAAGCACAATGGCAACAGCAATCCCTGGGATCTGGCGTTCAGAGGCAGGCTATACCTGAACATGGAAGTTCTGTTTCCTACCTACCTGGGCTATTAAAATAAGCATGACAAGGAAGGTTTGGATCCTGCATATCCATTCTAGTCCACTTAGTCTCTAATCGGATGTCTGCTGGTTTTATGGATTCGTCCACCAGGCATAACCCGCATGCTTTCAATTCTGCCATAGGGACTAGAAACTTGGGGTTTTTTTATATATATAAAAAAGAAAGCTGCCAATTTCACTTTCTCTCATTTGATCATTTTTTCCCAAACAGTTGCAATATCTCCATATCTCCACATCACTTTGAGGTGGGCGTGTTACTGGTTTTTTAAAAATAATAATAATACAGTGGTACCTTGGGTTACAGATGCTTCAGGTTACAGACGCTTCAGGTTACAGACTCCGCTAACGCATAAATATTTCCTTGGGTTAAGAACTTTGCTTCAGGATGAGAACAGAAATCGTGCTCCGGTGGCACGGCGGCAGTGGGAGGCCCCATTAGCTAAAGTGGTGCTTCAGGTTAAGAGCAGTTTCAGGTTAAGAACTGAGCTCCGGAACGAATTAAGTTCTTAACCCAAGGTACCACTGTAATCCTCAGTGGGGATTTTAACCTAGGTGCTAGTCTGGCACTTTAAACAGCAGACTGCACTGGTTCTGGACAAACTAGGTGTGCTGAGAAAAGGGCATACGCTTTGCACATGCTCAGAATTGCACGCTTTAATGTCTGCTCCATGCAGAACACCGCACACCGCCCGACACTCTCCCCACTGATGGCAGAAAGGACAAGGAATGTAATGCAGGCTGAGTACTCTAGCCAGATACCACCACCCTGGTCCGCTGAGGCCCACACTCACCTTGAACCATGAGGATGCCCTGTGCCGTACGGCGAACCCTGGTGCCAGGCCGGTTGGCGGCGCAGACGTAAACTCCGGCGTGCTTCACAGACACGTCTGAGATCATGAGGTTCCCAGTTCCCAGGACCTGGATCCCTTCGACGCCAATGGAACGTCCGTCTGTGAGGAGAGAGAAAGAGAAGGCAAGACGGTAAGATTTGTAGGGACGGCAAGTGTGCCAATATCACGCAAACACGGACCTCCAAAGAAAGCTTCCCTCCGTAATGGCATGAGGTCTGGTTACGCACATATGATCTCTCTCTCTCAATATCCCCACTCACCCAAGCGACTCCAAGACACGATCGGCCGAGGGTTGCCGGTAGCGATGCATTCCAAGATGGCCGTCTGGTGCACCGTGATGGTCAGGTTCTGCGGGCCAGAGAGGATGACCGGCTCCTTGTAGAGCTTGGCCACTGAGACTGGTGAGAGAGAATGGAGGGGAAATGAGATGGGTGCCTCGTCCCCCTGAACTTTTGAGCCCATCATTTCCAGAGGCACAGAAAGCAATCCAAGCTTAGCATCTGAAAGAGGCAGCTCTTACTAATCTGCCAATTACGGTTTCCCTCAGTTCCTCATTTTTCCTTGATTCAGCCATAGGGACTGGCAACTCGGACCTTTCTTTAATTAATGCTGTCTGTCCATTTTGGCTTCTCGTTTCCCCAGAGTTCAGTTCAGTTCTCCACATCAGCATGCAAATTTCTTTTCTAAAGGTAAAGGTACCCCTGCCCGTACGGCAGTGGCGTAGCGTGGGGGGTGCAGGGGGGGCCGGCCGCACCGGGCGCAACATCTGGGGGTTAGGGTTAGGGGGCGCAAATCCACGGGTTAGGGGGTGCAAATTACTTGCCTTGCCCCGGGTGCTGACAACCCACGCTATGCCACTGCCATACGGGCCAGTCTTGACAGACTCTGGGGTTGTGCGCCCATCTCACTCAAGAGGCCGGGGGCCAGCGCTGTCCGGAGACACTTCCGGGTCACGTGCCCAGCATGACATCGCTTCTCTGGCGAGCCAGAGCCGCACACGGAAACACCGTTTACCTTCCCGCTAGTAAGCGGTCCCTATTTATCTACTTGCACCCGGGGGTGCTTTCGAACTGCTAGGTTGGCAGGCGCTGGGAACAAACAACGGGAGCGCACCCCGCTGCGGGGATTCGAACCGCCGACCTTTCGATCAGCAAGCCCTAGGCGCTGAGGCTTTTACCCACAGCGCCAACCGCGTCCCAATTTCTTTTCTAAGCCCTCACAAAAAAAAAAATATTCTCAGTATTTTAGTGTGCATTTCTCCTGATGGACACATATATTTTTTTCTTTGCCGTTTTTCCTAATGCAAGGCATCTTTCTGTGTTATTTGTATCCATTCTTAGCCCTGCTCAGAGTAGGCCCACCCAAGATAACACACATGCCCAATATAGGGTTCTACATAGCAGTTCTTTGTAGAACTTCATAGAATAATAGAATCTTAGAGTTCGAAGGGACCCCTACGGTCATCTAGTCCAACCCCCTTCAGTGCAAAGTAATCTCAGATGTGATTCAGCTGTGGGTCCTGCATTGCAGAGGGCTGGATGGCCCTCGGCTGATTCTCACCGCTAATGCTCAGCATGGCTTCCTGGCTGTAACGGGTGTTGGCGATGTTGCTGGCCACACAGCGGTAGGTGCCCACGTCGGAACGCCGCACGCCCGTGATCTGAAGGATCCCGGTGGGGAGCAGCGTGTACCTGGCGGAATCAGGGAGAGAGAATGAAACAGAGAAGAGGTCGGAAGTGGGTCTCCCGCCTCCGCTGGGCCAGTGGGTAGAGTGAATCCCCTTTGAAGGAAGGCTGCAGCCTTTGGGACTTGGAGATGGCTTATGATGACCAGTGAAACGGATAACGTGGATAGGGAAAAATGGAAGGGAGAAGGGAAACAGGACAAATCCACCAACTCTGCTAAGTGACCGGCAGCTGAGTGAGGCCCTGGACTTTGCCCCAAAGTCCTGCCTTGGTGTGTGTGTGTGTGTGTGTGTGTGTGTGTGTGTATATATATATAAAATTTTCATAACATTTTCTGTTTCACAATTTCAAACCAACATTTTACAAACTTTAAACTATCCAATGACTTCCCTTCTTCTCTTTCCATTTTACATATCTTACATCCATCTGCATATTTTGTTAAAGGTAAAGGTAAAGGTACCCCTGCCCGTATGGGCCAGTCTTGACAGACTCTAGGGTTGTGCGCCCATCTCACTCTAGAGGCTGGGGGCCAGCGCTGTCCGGAGACACTTCCGGGTCACGTGGCCAGCGCGACGAACGCTGCATCTGGCGAGCCAGCGCAGCACATGGAAACGCCGTTTACCTTCCCGCTGGTAAGCGGTCCCTATTTATCTACTTGCACCCGGGGGAGCTTTCGAACTGCTAGGTTGGCAGGCGCTGGGACCGAGCAGCAGGAGCGCACCCAGGCACAGGGATTCGAACCACCGACCTTTCGATCGGCAAGCCCTAGGCGCTGAGGCTTTTACCCACAGCGCCACCTGCGTCCCTGCATATTTTGTTATAAACATTCAAATCAATTTTCCACCCTTATACCCATCAAGAATTATTTACTCTGTTGAATTTATCTTAAGAGAAGAAGAGGAGTTTGGATTTGATATCCCGCTTTATCACCACCTTCAGGAGTCTCAAAGCGGCTACCATTCTCCTTTCCCTTCCTCCCCACAACAAACACTCTGTGAGGTGAGTGGGGCTGAGAGACTTCAGAGAAGTGTGACTGGCCCAAGGTCACCCAGCAGCTGCATGTGGAGGAGCGGGGACGCGAACCCGGTTCACCAGATTACGAGACTACCGCTCTGAACCACTACACCACACTGGCTGCCGGCGTTTTCAGCTGTACGGCGCCATTTCCCATGTACTCAATAAACGTTTTCCAATCTGCGTTTTTCCGTCTATAAGACACCCCCATGTATAAGATGCCCCCTATTTGGGGGGACTCAGATTTAAGAAAATGAGGGGAGATGTATCCGTCTATAAGACGCCCCCTAATTTTTGACATTATTTTTAAGGGGGGAAACCTAGTCTTATACACGGAAAAATACGTATGTTCTTCTTGCTCTCTTATGCTGTATGTTAAACCTGCAAGTTGTGCATATTCTATCAACTTGAGTTGCCAGTCCTCTTTAGCTGGGACGTCGCTCCCTTCCAAAGTCCTGCCTTGTTGGTTATTGCTGATTCCTGGGACGCTTCCTTCCCTCGCCTTATGCTCACTCACCACAAACCAAATCCGTAACACACAAGCGCACCAGTCCCCTCCAACCGTACCACCAGCACCCAGGTCCATTCAAGAGCTCACCGGTAGTCATCCGTCAGCAGGGCTGTGCGGTTGCGCTCCCAGGTTATCGTGGCTTCGGGGACGCCCTGGATGAAGCACTGGAACCGGGCAACGCCTCCCTCTTCTACAGCCATGGAGTCCGGGTGCATGTGGAATTTGGACAGAGCTGCGGGGAGAAACAAGGCGCGATCACCACCGCCACCCCCAAGACGCATGCGGAGCTCCCCCCAGTGATGTCGCCGGCATCATCTACAGTCGAATCCTTGGTGCTCATATGTTTTGGCTCCCAAACACAGCAAACCTGGACGTGAGTGTTCTGGTTTGCGAACGTTTTTCGGAAGCCAAACATCCTACGTGACTTTCCACAGCTTCCGACTGAGCGCAGGAAACTCCCACAGCCAATCGGAAGCTGCGCCTTGGCTATTGAACGTTTTTGGAAGTCGAACGTGTGGGGATGATTAGGGAGGCAGGAGAGGATATATTATTGAATGATATCCTTCCTAGCTTGTGCTAGCAAGTTCCATATTCCAGCAGAGTTTCAAACATCCCCCTCTTTAAATTATGCAGCTTGTTCCTGACTCATCTGAGTCTTACTATTACAGATCCCTTCCTGGTAAAATCCCTTCTAATCCCTCTTAAAAAGAATAAACACAAGAATCTGATTAACGTTAATATAAAAGTAGTTGACTCACAGATTCATTCAGGTTCACAGACTTATCCCTGAAGGCAGACTTAGGTTACATTAGGAACTATTCCATAAAGGAGTTAGTCCCAACAAGTGACTGTGACCAAGCAGTCCCTTCTCCAAACACACAGCAACATACAAAATGGAGAACACACACCTATCAGAACATGGAGGCCATGTGCTCCTCCATGCTAGTACAACACAGAATACCCTCTTCAAGTCACATGCAGTGGAAGTCTGTCCCAGCTCAGGAGGAAACAGGAAGTCTTCTCCTGAGTGGTACAAAACATCTCCTAACATGTCCGCTGTAGGAATGTTGTACTTGACTGCTATAAGTTTTACATCCCACAGAACGGACTTCCGGAACGGATTATGTTTGAGAACTAAGGTACAGCTGTACGTAGAACCGTCAGCATGCATGGCACTTTTGGGAGCGGAAGCCCCTGCCCCAAGGACATTACAGTCCGTGTGGTGTAAGAGATGGAGAAGATATCCGAGACCCAAGGACGTTACAATCCAAACTTGGATTGGTGGGAGAAGAGTAATAATGGTCAGCAAGACAGTTGGAACAGAGGGAGCTGCCTCATACGGAGTCAGACCATTTGTGCATCTAGTTCAGTATTGTCTACACCAGGCTTCCTCAACCTTGGCCCTCCAGATGTTTTTGGCCTACAACTCCCATGATCCCTAGCTAGCAGGACCAGTGGTCAGGGATGATAGGAATTGTAGTCTCAAAACATCTGGAGGGCCGAGGTTGAGGAAGCCTGGCCTACACTGAGTGGCAGTGACTCTCCAGGAGGTCTCTCCCAGCCTTACCTGGAGATGCTGAAGATTGAACCCAGGTCCTTCTGCCTGAGGAGATTTCTGAGGGCCAGACAGAAAGGTCTGGAGAGCTGAATATGCCCTCCCTCAGGCCTGAGCGCCTCCACCCCAAAGTATAAATTACAGAGTTAATAAAAAGCATGGAAACAAAACAAGAAAACACTCCCACCAGGGGTGGACTTGGGTAAATTTTTTGTAATATGGCACCCTGCACAAGGCCAAAATTTGGCACCCTCCCAAAACGGATCTTCCCAATTATGGAACTTCTCCATTTTGGATCCTCTCGGCTTGGCACAAATTTGGCACCCCCGAATGGCTCTTCTCCATGATGGATCTTCTCGGTTTGGAGCCCCCTTGGCTTCCTCGCCCGTTGTGGGATAACTTCCTGCACCACCCTAAATCCAGCGATGCTCCCAGCCCACCCGCTGCACCCTTTGTGAACCCACAGAAGATAGCGCCAAACGGCCTGGCCCAAAACTCACTCGCAATTTGCACTCGGGCCTTGCGGCTGACCAGCAGGCCGTAGCGGTTCTGGGCAGTGCAGCTGTACTCTCCGGCGCTGGAGTTGCCCGTGGTGTTGGCGTCCGCCGCTCCGCCTCCCCGGGGCCGCCGGTGCACGCTTTCCAGCCGCAGGGAGCCGTTGGACAAGATGGCGGCATGGCTGTCGTTGGAGAGGGCCGCCCCGTTCCGGTACCAGGTGATGGCGATGGGCGCCTCACCTTCCACTTGGCAGTGCAAGAGGAGCGGGCGATCTCGGATGGCGATCACGTCACTGGGCTCCAAGAGGAACGCCAGCTCTGAAGGGTAGGCCAGGCCTGTGAGAAAGAATAAGATTTACAGGCCTGGCAAGCCAGACTCCACCAACCATGGTGGTTGTTTGTTTGTTTGTTTGTTTGTTTGTTTGTTAAGCAACATGGTATTTTACTTATTTATTTATTTCATAAAATTTGCTTTGAGGGTTGTTGGATTTCGTTTTGCTTTGTTTACAACCAGGCGTCGTACACGTTTTACGAAATAAATAAAACTTGTCTACCGCTTGATCGGAAAACAGAAAACCCTAAGCAAAACCTGAAAGAAATTTACAAAAAAAGAAGAAGAAAACGAATACAAGTATTATTTATTCGTTTGTCAAAGCCATTACCGACAACAAAATACACTGCACGGTTAAGACAATTGTTTAAAACCAGGCATTCTGTCAGAAAAGAGTTTGCTCCCCAGAAGAAGTGCTTTGCAAAATGAAGAATAAAATTACCAGTAAAAACAGCTATTTGAAACATTTTGAAAAATAATTAAAATCAACGATAAGCTTTTTTTTTTTTTTTAGGCACTCTGCCACTGAGTTACAGCTCTTGCCCTTGAGAGAAAAACAGAACTTCTCTGTACTCAAGCAACAACAAAAACACCTCGTGCTTTCATACTTTTGGGTCTATCTAGCTCAATATTGTCTACACTGACAGCAGCTCTCCGGGTTTTCAGGAGAGGGGACAATTCCCAGCTCTACTTAGAGATGGCAAGGACAGAGCCCGGGACCTTTTGCACGCAAAACAGATGCTCTACCTCTTCCCTTAAATACAATAGTAAGATTCTAGTCCTCATTGTTCTGAACTAAGAGATGATTTTTAAAAAGAGCAGAGGAAGCTGGAGGGAGGAAAAAGTGAGATATAAATGCAGTAAACTAAATAGCAACAATGATTATTAATAACCAACAATGATTATTATAATAATAATAATAATAATAATAATAATAATCCAGAGTCAATGCAAGGATGCAACAGCAACAAGCAAAGGACATTGCTCCTTCTCATCCTGCAATTCTCGTGCCAAGACCCCGTCTTCACTGCTCTCCCTCCCCCCCCCACAAAAAACCCCGCATCCCCCTCCCCTTATGTCCCCAAATTGCCTCTGACTGCCAAGGAGCCTTGAACGGGAGTCTAAAATTAGCTCTGGGGACTTGGGGAAGAACAAGGGCAATTAAGAGCCTCTTGGCTTCCGAGTGGGGCGATTTCTATAGCTTCAAAGGGGCTAATCTCGCTTCCTTTCACCCTCACTTCCTGGCCCATACCACACCCCATTGGGGGTCCTCGTCCCCTCTTCTCTCCCCCCCACCCCACCCCCCCGCCCAACACATCCAAGAGGCATTTCATTCACAAGCCGTGTTTTTTGGCTGCAGACCAAAGAGGGCCAGCTCCTTCTCTGGCCACACCGTCCGACAGTCGGGGTGTCTGCCAAAAAAAGGGACAAAAAAGGAGGAAGGAAGTTGGATTTGGGGTGAGGGGTGGGTTGGCACCACGCCGAAATGATGCGCTCCCAGCACGCTCTGCCACACGTCGGCTTGCGTCCCGGACTTGGAGGGGTTGAGGGTGTGTGGGCAAGGGCTTGTAAGGCAATAATAATAATAATAATAATAATAATAATAATAATAATAATAATAATAATAATAATTATTCTTTATACCCCACCCATCTGGCTGAGCTTCCCCAGCCACTCTGGGCGGCTTCCAATCAAGTGTTAAAAACAATACAGCATTAAATATTAAAAACTTCCCTAAACTGGGCTGCCTTCAGATGTCTTTTAAAGAGAGGGTAGCTGCTTATTTCCTTCACATCTGAAGGGAGGGCCACTACTGAGAAGGCCCTCTGTCTGGTTCCCTGTAACCTAACTTCTCACAATGAGGGAACCGCCAGAAGGCCCTTGGCGCTGGACCTCAGTGTCCGGGCTGAACGATGGAGGTGGAGACGCAATGGATTTTAAGGTTGGCAGCAGGCGTTGCGCCCTCTAAACATGTGTGAGTTGGCGATGGGGGCTCCATCACACCTGCAGCGTAACAAAGCTGACTTATAGGTGTCACACACCCACACCCCGGGTCTGCCTAGGCCCGTTCTAACTCCCCTGCCTAGCCATGACTCTCCCAGGGTCCCAGGCCTGGAAAGATCGTTCCAAAATCCCCAGCTCTAAATCCTTTTCTAACTAGAGAGGCCCAGGATTGAACCCAGGAGCTTCAAATCTTGTGCTTTACCACTAAGGAACACTGGTATTGGTTTTCTACCATCGGCCTACTGAGCCCAGTGTTGCCTACACGGACTGGCAGAGGCTTTCCAGTCTTTCTAGCTGGAGATGCCTGGGATTTTCTACAAGGAAAGCGTGTGGGTTAGCGCTGAGCTATGATCCTTTCCCTCGGTAGGTAGAGTGTGAGACTCTTAATCGCAGGGTTGTGGGTTCGAGCCCCATGTTGGGCAAGGGGTTCCTGCATTGTGGGGGGGTTGGACTAGATGACCGCGGTGGTGCCTTCCAACTCTACGACTCCATGATTCTATAAAATACATTCAGATCACGGTCCTCACGTTTGTAAAGAAAGGGATGGTTTGACCAGAACAAAAGGAAGCTACTTCATCACAAAGTTAGCCCATTGGCCCAGCTAGCTCAGTGCACTGACTGGCAGCTGCTCTCCAGGTTTTCAAGCTGGGTTGCTACCTGGAGATGTCAGGATTTGAACCCAGAACCTTCTGCGTGCTCTGCCACTGAACTACAGTCTACCCATGACAAAATAAATAAAGTCAGATTCTACTTCTGAGACGAGTCCCTGGTTCACTCCTTGGCCTCTCCTGTTAAGGCTGGAAGTTTCCCCTGCCTGAAACCCGGGACAGCTGCTGCCAGTCAGTGTAGACTGACTGTAGACTGTAGACCGATAGTGTAGACAATGTTGAGCGAGATGGGCTAAAGCTTTGACTCAGAATAAGTCAGCTTCCAAGTTAAGCCAGCCGTTTATCCAGCACCATGAGGACCAGAATTTTATTTTATTTCTGTGCCACCCTTCCTCATCATAAGATCTCAGGGGGGCTCATAGCAGCTCACTTCACTTCTGGGGCCTGAGCTCAGCAGCGGCGCCTAAAATTCCTGAAAAGCAAAGTCAAGTGGCCGGACTTTCTCCTCAGGCTCAGCCCAGGGGAGAGGGCCTTCTTCTCCGCAGGATCCCTGGGGTGTCCACACACGGGTGCTGCCCACGTGGCCGCCCCAGACAACCTCCCTCTCTTTTCCCCCCAACCCCATAAGCTCCCAAACCAAACAGATGGAAACTGCTGTGCGAAGTGGGGGGAAATAAATAAAGAGACTTTAATCCCCTCAGAGGGAGGGCCGCTCGCTCAGCCGGCCGGCCGGCACAAAGTTAAACTCCGGGCGATGACAATGGGCTCTGTGGAGAAAAGGGGGGCGAGGGAGGTGGGGAGACGGGATTGCCCCCCCCCTTGACATCTTGATGGATGCCACCATTCAAGGCAGCCTTAGCAACTGCATGGCTGGCCGGGGAGGCCCCATAGCCCGGCTGTTGAGAGAGGCTTTGCGGGGGGCCCGGCATGGCGGACAATGGGCTGGGTCAGAAGGGGCCGAGGCAGGCCCTATTGTCCCGTCCCCTGCTCGGCAGCCCCCCGCCTTCCCCGCGCCCCATCTGCCGGCCCACGTGACGGGCTCGGGGTGAGGTTCCCATGACTTGCCCCATCACTCATGAACGTGGGTCTCCATGTCGGACCCTCGCCTCCGCCCCGCCATCGGTCACGGGCCTAGGCTGGCCGCCCCCCACCCGGTCACACACCCACTGTCCCACAGGCTGGGCCAAAGAAGGGGGTTAAGACCCCCAGGTTTCGCCTCCTTTCTAAGTCCCCTCAGGCAGAGTGCCTTTGGACTTGATGTCGGGGCGCAACCATTCGTGAAATGGAGTCGACGGGCCTGTGATGAGGAGAGGGTGCGAGGCTTGGCGTGAGCTGGCCAGAGTTGGGGGGCTGCTGGCCGCCCCCCACCCGGTCACACACCCACTGTCCCACAGGCTGGGCCAAAGAAGGGGGTTACGACCCCCAGGTTTGGCCTCCTTTTGATGTCCCCTCAGGCAGAGTGCCTTTGGACTTGATGTCGGGGCGCCAACCATTCGTGAAATGGAGTCGACGGGCCTGTGACGAGGAGAGGGTGCGAGGCTTGGCGTGAGCTGGCCAGAGTTGGGGGGCTGCGTAACCCCCCCCCCCCGCGTTTAAAGCACACTTGAAGCACAGGCAGACGCCCTAAGGATCTGGGAACTGTAGCGTGCCCAGTTCACAGCGCCCTGACCAAACTAAATATGGTAGGCCGTTGCACTCAGTTCTGCATGACCCTGGGAAGCCTAAGGTCTCCTTGGGCAGCCTACACATTGTTTATTTCAAGCACAAGGCTTACCCTAAAGAATTCTGGGAACTGTAGCTTGCCCCTCAAAGAGCTACAGTTCCCAGCACCCTCAGCAAACTAGAGTTTGCGGGATTCCCCAGTTCTGCTTGGAAGAAAGGGGGTTCACTTAGAATAAGGGTCAGGCTGGGAAACACAGTTTTGTACTAGGAGCTCATGAAAGAAGAGCCCAGGAGTCAATGTTCTGCCCCTGCTTCTAATTCCCCATAATACCGTATATCCAAACAGCTGGGGAAATTCTCTTTCTCTGTCTCTCTCTTTCCAGGGAAGTTTGGCAACTTAAATAAGAGTTTGCCTTGTTCTCTCTCTCTCTTTCTCTCTCTCTCCCCTAGAGGCGTCTGCCATAAGATATTGGCAATTGTGGAATGAGGGGGGCAATTTGCCATGTCTCTTAGGGGCCCCTATGTATCCTGTGAGGGCCCCACACATCCCACAACAAACAGGGGTTGGAAAATATGGCTTGAACCAGCGTTGAATTTCTCATCACCACTATACTACCATGCTATACATGATTATCTCTCCACTATCACCTTCATTCTAAATCATGCTTTAACTTCATCTGCCAAAATACAGGGGGCTGTTTCAAATGCCAGCCCAGTCCCTGTTTTTGTGTTGTGGTTTTTTAAGGGTGCAAGCTGAAGCGGAAGCAATGTTTTTGTGTGTGTCTAATTCTGGTGCAATCAACATTAACAATAATAATTATATATTGGGCAACACCCTCTGGGGGAGTAGGAATTTGCTCCCCGCCCCCTGCTCCCATCTGAGTTTGGTTGTCTCTGAAAGAGCATGTCAGGATTCTGAAATCAACCCGGTACCCACATCACTGATTTAGTGATAGGGCATTCCCCCCTTCCACCACAACTGACGCCATGAAAATGCACCAGTCCCAAATGTTGCCTCTTCCATCATCTGTCTTAGCTATAAACCATTGCAGATATTATTATTATTATTATTATTATTATAGCTAATAAAACACATCATGTGTAAGATCACTGAACTCTAGCTTTATTGAGATCATATCCAAGCTACAATGACTTTGGAAAAACTTTGTTCTTAGAGCAAATGCCTTATATACTGAGTTACATCGCTGGTCCATCTAGCTCAGTAGTTATCCACCTTGCTTAGCAGCAGCTCCCTTCCGATGCTACCAGGAGATGCTCAGCGATTGAACTTGAGACCTTCTGCACGCAAAGCAGATGCTCTCTCAAAAGTCTACAGCCTTCCCAAATGGTGTGCAGAAACTTCTAACAGGAGAAATCTGTTTTGTAGATTCTGCAAGGCTGTTTTGTCTGTTTGTTTTCCCCCTGTTGGGCTCACGAGGGGCAACCCTTTTGGAATTTGCAAACTTCCACCGATGGCCTCTTTCAAGCATTATGCTGCCCAGCCAAACAGATCACTTGTGTAAAGTGGGTTAGTTTTAAGAGTTAGGTGGGTGGTGGAAGTAGCTGATTCTAGATATATGTGTCAACTTAAAAGTTTAGCAGTGCAGCATTTCAGATAAGTGCCTTATTATTTCAGCTGCAAATAAAGCTCAGTTTGGGGGGTTTGTTGGGCACCAAGGAACTTTGGATAAAAGAAGAAAAAAAGGGAGCAGGTTTTGGCACATATATACATGAGATAAGATGGGTTGGTAACAAATCTTCATTAATATCTTTTTAAGGACCAGTAACGAACTGCATTAACTTATGAATTTTATTATTTCAGTCACAGACCAGTTCCAGCCCACATACAACATCAAGGAAGTCATGAAACACTATAGGGATACATTTGAATTTGCAATTAACTTATTTGCATTTCAAAATCCCAAAACTGACATCTATTTTTAAGGCCTTGGAAAGTACTTCAAAACAAAACAAAACTACACCCACTTCTGACCAGAAATATTATTTTCTTCTTCATGCCCTAGACTAACAGTTCCCAAACTTTCGCCACCTCCACGGACCACTTAAAATTGGTTGAGTGTCCTGGCAGATAAACTTAACGATTGTTGCAGCAATTGCAACGTGGTGCTGGATGATTTTGAATTGTATTTTTTTTACAGACTCGCCATGGACCATTCAAATGGAATTTGTGGGCTGCTGATGGTCTGCAGACCTCAGTCTGGAAACTCCTTTTCTAGACACAGAGCATTTTTCCAAATTGGTGGGAGCAAATGATAAGGGTTTTCAGGACGGTGACTTTATAGCGCAATGATATGGGTGCTTGCTCAGATATAAGTCCCACTGTGCTCTGCAGGGCTTGATCTTAAGAAAGTGCACATGAGATTTCAGCCATAGCTGTGGCAAATTTCTCCTTGCCTCTTGAAATCTGCTTCAACTTTTTAAAAAAAGAGCGGTGGTGGTTAAACAAACAAGCAAATGTGTATTTAGGGTGAAACAGGGGGTCAAAATATGAATGGATGTTTCCGTTTTCTCCAGTGTTTCTGGGAAGAAGAAGAAAAACACCATAGCACCATAGCACGCCCCAATAAAACACACTAGAGAGTTAGGATCCATTAACTCTCGTGAGTTACAGCCTGCACCAATAGCCCTATAAAATGTGCCGCCAACAAACATCTCTGTGTAGGAGCTCCCAAGTCCTGCTCAGGCAGAGAAATAAACCCAGAAGACCTCTGTTTCCCCAGCCAGCTCTATTAACCTGCGTTAAACACCCTTCTCCTTCCTGTACCCAGAGACGATCCACTGTAGGGTCACAAATTTCATACGGGGTGAGGTTTCTGTGTGCCTGGGACTGAGTTGAGACACAACCAGACTTTAAACCACGAAAGCAAGATGAGAACACTCAGATCAACCCTATCCCAGTTTCCAGAGCACTGAAACAAATTTGTGAATGGGCTACACAACCCAAAAAAACGAGATCTAGCTTTCAGTGGGAGAGAATCCTTGTTCAACCCCCAAACAATCCAGTCGGCTTTATTGCCCCCTTCAAAAACCCAACAGCTTCAAGCTCTAATTGTCCTGTCTTGAACGGACATCTGGGAGACAGCGAAACAACCCTGTCTAGGACTTGAAAAGAAAGAAACCTTTTGCAACTGGCATAACTCCGTCCCATCCATAGACCCTCCTTCCAAATTCTGGTCCATCCACAGCTTGATTTACGTAGCGGGGGATAAATGAACTGTTTCCTGTGCTGGGGTTGCCACTCTATTGATGCTTATAAACCTCTGTTTCTCACCCCCCCCCCATTTGAACGTTCAGAATCTGAGAAAGTTGCCCCGTCAGAGAAGAAATATCAAAACAGAAAAGAACAAAATCATCTATTCTCCTCTCATCCCTCCATGCACACAACTGTCAGTCCATCAACTCTTGGTTTGGCAAACCAATCTGTGAACTCAGCCGTAGTAGAGTCGGTTTCCACAATCTCCCAGTCTCCCTCTCCCCAGCTTGCAAATGAATAGAACTCTCCCAACTCACTAGAGTGGTATTATAACCAGGGGGAATCCTGTGGACTTTGAGATTTCCCCCAGACCTAAGTATCCAAGATTTGACAATATGCCAAACGCAAATTAAATTTAGACCCAAAGCGACTTGAGATTGGACTGCTATTTGGGCAGGCAGGGGAATAATTTGCTGAAGTTTTTGCAATGAATGCTGGAGGGGGGGGGGGACATACAACAGAATCTCTAACATAACCCACCCCCATCCTCACTGATTTCTCCCAAATCCAGAGTCACTGCACCCACCCCAAAACGGTTCGATTTCACACCACGGAGGAGAAACAGAAGTCCAACGAAGACTTCGTTTTCCATACATATACAGAGCTACGTCGGTAGGTGGATTCAAAGTGAATTAAGGAAGATACTGTACATATATGTCTGAAAACCCACTTACCCCAATCTTGCAGAAACAGCCCCAAGACCAACCAGCCACTCCACGGTGACATCCCCCAAAATTTAGCACGGCGGTGGGTAAAACCATGAAAATAGGAAAAAATCCACTTGTATTTCTGAACAAAATACGCCAAAAAAAAAAAAAAGGAAAAAGTTTCTGCAGGAACTTTTTAAGAAAAAGGGTAGTCAGGAGGTAATTCCATGTATGAGTTTTGGGTGATCTCTTCCAATTCAGCGAAGCACCCCACCAAAAAAAATATTAGTCTTTGGCCTAAACTTGTATATATATCTATATGTTTTGCACTAGTCTGTGATCATGGCTCGCTTTCTAGTTCCACCCTCCCACCCTCCCACCCCAATTTTCCTGACCCCTCAATTCCGCTGGCTTCTAACTTTGCTGGCCAGTGGCCTCTCTCAGTGCTTCTGCTGGACAGGGGGCAGGCTGCCTTATTATTCCCATTGTTTGGCCTCTCTGACGGCCACAGACACTGATACAATTGGACTGGGGTGCAAGGGGGTGTGTGCTTGCAGGCTTGGGTGTGAAAGGCAGCTGGAGGCAGGCCTGCCCAATTACAGCTCAGCATAAAGATGAGAGGCAGGGGCTGCTCCCTCCCCACCCCCCTCTCCTCCCACCCCCCCCAACACCTCATCCCTCTTGGGAAACATTGATGTGTGTCCAATGCCTCGTTCTATAGCCCTTTTGCTGGGTCATAATATTGGGGAGGGGGGGAACTGTGCTTGATTTGCAAGCTGCTGAGAATGGTAAATCCTGTTCGTGGCTAAGGATTTCATGAGCAAATGTCCCCACTCCTTTAAATTTTAAGGGTGCAAAATAAGGACATCAGAAGTTGACCAAAACAGATGAGCTCTCCCCTTCATGGGAAGACCACAAGAGCATCTCAAAAGAGTTTCTCTTTTGTATATGTTTATCACCAGTCCTCACCCCACAAATGCTGGGCCCGTTTCCAAGTTGTTCTCTGCCAGATTCCATGGGGACTAGAATCTTCGGCAATTAAGACAAAGTTCTGCCCCAAAAGCATTAAATCGGATCGCGTTCTGTGGGATATACAGGGGGGGTTTTTGGGTGTGTGTTTTTTAAAGTACCTTTTGAGTGACGCTTAACCACACTCAACAGAAGTGAGATCTTGCACTATGCCAAATGTTGACAACGGAAATGGTCAGAATGTGTAATTCGTAAAGGAGATGATCTTGACTGTAGAAGAACCTAGAAGTTGTTTGGGAGAATTTGTAATTTTATCTTATTTGACCGCTTGCCCCTGTATTATTGCTGTTGTAATGAAAGTGAAAATAGAACAAAACCGCATTAGACAGATTTTCTCATAGACTCAGGGGTGAGTTATCGGCAGCCTGTGGGCCAAATCTAATCTTTCTTCCACTCAGCTTTTGAAAAACCAACACGGAACACTCACCTGCATTTTTCCACCATTTCCATGAGGACCAGGACCCCTGCTTTAAAAAAAGATAAACGAGCGACATTCAGAGACTCGTCGCTTTTTCTGCACTCAGATGGGCCTGAAAGATCTTGAGCGGATGGGAAGGGAGGTGGGTGTTTATTGACACCATGTGATATCTGCAATGGCCCATTTACACAAGCAACTCATCCCTTGATGGCTGCAGTCACCAAGTGACAAAAATGCATGCCTAAAATCTGCGTATCTCCTGGGTGCTGTCCCAGGTACTGAAGGCCCAATATCTGGGGCTGATGGAGGGGGTGGGTTTCTCCTTTGCTGCCCACCCACCCACCCACTCCAGTCGCTCTTGCATCACCCCACGGACTGCCCCAAGCCATTTCTCCACATGGAACCCAGGCATTCGGGTCCTTCCTTTCCCATCCCATCCCGCAGAGACTCTATCCTTCCCATCACGGGACCTGAGAGGGAGACCCCAAACATCCAGCAGGCACCCCCTCCAAAAAAACAGCCCTCCACTTAATTTTCTAGTATGTCCCATACGCATGCCTGAGCACACATTTTATGCATGTCTCCAGTACGATAAGTGATGTGAGACCAAGTCAATGGGGAGGGGTATTTCTGAGGCCTGAAGTACCCCCCCACCCAATCTTTGGGGAGGAGCGGGTTCTGGTGACAACCATTGGAAGCGGTTCCTCTCTGTGCCCGACTGCTCCCCCTTTCCATCTCAGCCCCCCTTTCCTCTCTCCCTCCCAGCCCCTCTTATCCTATTAGCCGCACTTAGAGCTCCTGTGGTTACCGGGGCTACGGGGCCTACCCCCTTCTCTGCCCGCCCTCCCAGCCCCATTCATGGTATCACTTTCACAAGCTGCTGGCCCTATTATCCCCTCACAATGGGGCACTGAGCCACAGGCCCCTTTTTATGGCAGAGGTGAGAGGGAAAGAGGAGGGAGGGGTGTCTGGGGGACGACAATGGCAGAGAAAGAGAGAGAAAGGCCTCAGAGAGGAACCCCCTAGTTTCTCTCTGCCTGCACCCCCAAACTGCAATGGGTCGCGGTTGTATTTTTTTAGTGGGGCGATGCCATAAACCCTCACCCTATGGGTTGTTTCCACAGAGGCATCCGCCCAAAGCAGACCCATCGACGATGCATTTATTTGGCAGAGCGGTTTGTTTGTCCATCGGCCTGTTCTTTTTGGGTTTTCTGACATCTCTCAGGATGTTGTCACGAAACTTGGCAAGGAGGGTTGCCCCAAGATAGGGCAATTGCGAACACCAGCTGCCATTTTGGAACAAGGCAGGGGAACCAAAACATAACCTTGGCGTCACTTTTTTGGGCATTGGCGTCACTTTTTTGGGCATTGGTTCAGCCGTTTCTTGAGATGTCCCCGCCAAACCCAGCATGGGCGTTCAGGAGGGAGGGTTGCCATATTTCAAAAAGTGGAAATCCAGTGGAAACAAGGTAGATATTTATTTTTCTGTTGCAACAGAGTTCCCTGCCCTCCTTCCAAGGAGGGAGAGACCTTGAACAAAATTGTACAGGAACCTTTATAGACTTTTGACATTGTCCAACCCCCTTAGCCAAAAAAAAAGTGGAAATCCAGACACACAAAGGTTGTTTGAGCTTTTTTTCAGTTTTGCTCACCCAAAGTTGTTGTTTTTTGTTTGTTTGCAAAATCTCAAAAACAGAGGAAGAAGTTTTTGAGCTACTTTCTAAGGAAATTCGCCAAAACCTACACTTCCAACATGGGCTGCCATACGTCCAGGCATTAAGTGATTTTAGCCCACATTCTGTTTCCAATAGCCAAATCCCAGCAAAGTCTGGGAAATTCTGGGGGTATGGCAGTCCTAAGCGTAGGGGGGACAGTGGTCTTCATCAAGGTTTGGCATGATGGGCTCAAACTCACAAGTGACAATTTTAACATTTAAAATTCACAACATTTTTTGGTTCCTACAAATTCCTGGGGAGCGCCGGGCACTCCCTGATAGTTGTAAAACAATGTACATAGCACAAGGCCATTCACTTCAATGGATCTATTCTGAAGTTTGATACAACCTGACGGATTGGTTTTATCCAGCTATCCACCCATCCATCTCACGTGTCATTATTGCGCCTTGTTGTTCTCTATAATTCAGGCTTAGCAGCTATTATTACCAAGCGTTTAAACAGGCCCAGTAGGCCAAAGCCACAAAGTGAAATAAAATAAAAATATCAGTTAGTACAGTGGTACCTCGGGTTAAGAACTTAATTCATTCTGGAGGTCTGTTCTTAACCTGAAACTGTTCTTAACCTGTTCTTAACACTTTAGCTAATGGGGCCTCCTGCTGCTGCCATGCCACCGGAGCCCGATTTCTGTTCTCATCCTGAAGCAAAGTTCTTAACCTGAAGCACTATTTCTGGGTTAGCGGAGTCTGTAACCTGAAGCGTCTGTAACCCGAGGTACCACTCTACTACTACAACTACTACTACAGTGGTGCCTCGCAAGACGAACAACTCGCTAGACGAAAGAGTTTTCCGTTTTTTGAGTCGTTCCGCAAGACGAATTTCCCTATGGGCTTGCTTCGCAAGACGAAACGTCTTGCGAGTTCTTGCGAGTTTGTTTCCTTTTTCTTAAAGCCGCTAAGCCGCTAATAGCCGTGCTTCGCAAGACGAAAAAACCGCAAGACGAAGAGACTCGCGGAACGGATTAATTTCGTCTTGCGAGGCACCACTGTACTACTACTACATTATCATCATCTGAGTGTGTGCGCATTCTCTCTCTCTCTCTCTCTCTCTCTCTCTCTCTCTCTCTCCTCCAAGAAGCTCAAAGTGATGCACACCCCTTGCTTCACCCTCACAACAACCCTGTGAGGTGAGTCAAGATGGCAACTGGCTCAAAGCTAGCTCAGGCCCCAAGGCAGGGAGTTGAATCTAGTCAGGCTTCTGGCTGCAATGCTCCAAAACCACATTACTTTTTTCCCTTGCCTTTCCCCCTTAAAAACAAACAGATGCTTGAGCACATTGCTATGGTCATTGGGGGTTACTGTTGTTCTTGTTTGAATTTATATACCACCCTATACCCAAGGGCAAGGGACGCGGGTGGCGCTGTGGGTTAAACCACAGAGCCTAGGACTTGCCGATCAGAGGTTGGCGCTTTGAATCCGTTGTTCGGTCCCTGCTCCTGCCAACCTAGCAGTTCGAAAGCACATCAAAGTTCAAGCAGATAAATAGGTACCGCTCCAGCGGTAAGGTAAATGGTGTTTCCGTGCGCTGCTCTGGTTCGCCAGAAGCGGCTTATTCATGCTGGCCACATGACCCAGAAGCTGTACGCCGGCTCCCTCGGCCAATAAAGCGAGATGAGCGCCGCAACCCCAGAGTCGGCCACGGCTGGACCTAATGGTCAGGGGTCCCTTTACATTACCGTTACCCAAAGGTCTCAGGGCGGTTCACAGAATAAAATCTAAATATAAAACCACAAAAAACATAATCAAAATAAAAACAACCACCCAATAACCCTGCCCCCTTTAAAAAGGAGCTGCAGGAAATTAACTTAAAGTATTCTGCTTTATTGTTATTTAATTGCAAATATGTTATATGTCTTGAAGTTATATGAGAATCTTCGTTTGTTTCTCAGCACTTAAATTCCACTGCAGCTGAGAATGGCACCAGGGCAGGGTTCAATTGTCCGGGGGGGGGCGGGAATCAGCAACCCAGCCAGCCATGCCTTATTTAGTGGGGTCCTGTTGTTGAGCTTTTTAACACACATTTCGGGATGTGGGGGACGGGGGACATTTCAAAAAGCAACGGTGGTGGGGGCAGTGGAGCCCTTAAGAGTGGATAGCGCAAGGGACCCCGTCTTTATTTCTTCCACGTCTCAGATTCAGAGTTGCTCTGTGTGTGTGTCCCTAAGCAAAAATAATTTTATTTTTGCTCTCTTG